TTCTTTGTTTTGTTTTCTGTTCTTCTGTTTTGGGATTTCTGTTAATTGGGCATTATACCTTCTGGATTTATTCTCTAATATTCCAGTTTTTTCTTCTGTCTCTGTTTTTAAACTTTCTGGGATATTTCCTTGACTTCTAACCCTTCAGTGGAATTTTTCATTTTATTTATTATGGTTTTTAACCTTTTGATTTTTTTTTTTTTTTTGCCCAGGCTGGAGTGCAATGGCGCGATCTCAGCTCACTGCAACCTCCACCTCCCAGGTTCAAGCGATTCTTCTGCCTCAGCCTCTCTAGTAGCTGGGATTACAAGCATGTGCCACCACGCCCAGCTAATTTTTGTATTTTTAATAGAGACGAGGTTTCTCCATGTTGGTCAGGCTGGTCTCGAACTCCTGACCTCAGGTGATCTGCCTGCCTTGGCCTCCCAAAGTGCTGGGATTACAGGCATGAGCTACCGCGCCTGGTTTGTTTGTTTGTTTGTTTGTTTGTTTGAGACAAGGTCTTACTCTGTCATCCAGGCTGGAGTGCATCGGCACTGTCTCAGCTCACTGTAACCTTGACCTCCCAGGCTCAAGCGATCTTCCCAGAGACATAGATTTTTGCCATGTTATCCACGCTGGCCTTGAACTCCTGGGCTCAAGCAGTTCACCTGCCTTGGCCTCCCAAAGTGCTGGGATTACAAGTGTGAGCCACCGCACCCAGCCTTTGTTTTGAAATTTCGAACTTAACTAGTTTTAAACATCTTGACACATTTGCTGATCATTCTCCTTCTATTTCTGAACCCTTTGGAAGCAGGTTTCAGGCACGATGCCCTTACTATTTCAGTGTGTGTTTGCTAAGAACAGGGATGTTTTCTTCTGTGGGCTGGGTGACACCACGATGGTGGCCACGTGCAGAGCCCTTCTCACTGTAGAGTGATAAATGGTCCATTTCTGTTTGGTCCCAGAAGTCAGAGGTAGAGTTAATTCCTTGCGTTTCTCCAGCACGGTTCCCGGCACACAGTAGGTGCTCCCTGAGTGCCTGTGATGGTGGCTTCTTGCACGACTGGACTTGCAGGTGGATGTGGCATTACACGTGGGCAGGGCATATGCGGGCCTGTGTGTAGAGGCAGGTGGACAGGGACTGGGCAAAGGCTGCCACCTGCAGAGCTGTGGGCTCGTCCACGCCAGGTGTCCATGTCCGTGGTGTGCACCTGTGTGTAAGTCCAGCTGGGCTGTAAAGAGTCATCTCTTTTCTGAAAGTTGATCTGTTGGTCACTCTAAGCCCCAAGCAGCCAGGGGCTCATGGGGTCTTCATGAACACCCCTCCTGACCCCCGCATGTGCAAAGGTCCTGGGGCTCAGGGGTCGCAGGCTCCATCGCCCCAGTGGTTGTGGGGCATCTGGGCTTGTCAAGACACTTTTGCTTCTGCCCTCAGGGTCCCTTTGGGGACTTTTGTCCTTGCTGGGGTCCGGAGTTTTCTGGCAAGGCCTAGGGTCCCCTGCCAGGTGCTCTTCCTCCCCTCCTCTTCCAGGCACAGCCCCCCACCAGCACCTTATGATTTCACAGAAGACAAAAGCCAGGAGACTGCGTGGGCTGTCCGCCCTGACAGTGCCAAGGGGAGGCTCCAGAGCAGCCAGCCATGAACCCCAACTACAATTCAGGAAGCTGCCTGCGGGGAAGGGGGGGGGGATTCTCTTGGAGCAGGCAGGCAGCCACGCTGGAGAGCCCCTCCCCAAGCTCTTCATTCCAGCCCTGCCCTGCCCCCTGCCTTGCCGATGGAGCCTGTCACCCTAAACCCGGCCTCAGTAAACCAACCCAGGCCAGAGAAAGAGAAGTGCGGCCCCCTTGCCCGTGTAAGTGGAACTGCAGCAGAGCCGATAGCTCAGCCATGAAAAAATCATGAGGTCGCCAGGCTGCAGGTCTGTTCTCAGGAACACCACCCAGGGCTGGGCCCCTGGGACTTGGTGCTGGGCCGGCAGTGAGGACATCAAGGCACGGTGTGCCCAACAGGGTGGCCCTCACCTGGCTGCAGGGCCAAGGGGACAACAGAGCCTGGGCAGGGGCTTGGCACGGGGACGAGGAGGAGGGTGGAGTACCTGGGAATCACTGGAGACAGGGATGTCAACAGGAGTGGCAGCAGTCAGGGCCTGGCACTGAGGCAGGGGCTCCTCCGATGCCTGCAGGGAGGGCTGCAGGTGCTGCTGGCCCGTGAAAGGCATGGTCCGCAGCCGCGGGGCTGCCCCAGGGCTCCATGTCCCAGTTTCCAGGGCTCCAGGCCAGCAGGGTGAGGAGCGACCTCTCCCCCAGCTGCACACAGGCAGGCCTGTGCCAGCTCACACCACCAGCACCAGCACTGCAGGGCACCCAGCCTGGAGCACGTGCCCGGTCACCATGGCAGCAGACAGCGTGCCAGCAGGAGCCCAGGCTGGGCTCTAGCATCCAGGATCAGTGGTCTAGGCATGGCGGGGGGAGGGGCTGGGGTCCTTCCCCTTGTAGCACCAGAGGGGCCAACTGGGTGAGAGGGAGGGGAAGGGGGACCCTGCGGTGCCAGGACTGCCCGTCCACCAGCACCTCAGAAAGGGAACGATTTCCTGAGGGCTCTCAGGAAACCTGAGGGCGGACACCAGGGTCCGGTGGTGGCGCATGGCTTCCTGGTCCTGCCCTAGCTGGCGTCGCACTGAGAGGGATGGAGGCTGAGGCTCGGGCCTCAGGGGAGGCTGTCGGGGGGTTCTGATGGCTGAGGCACTCCTTGTCCTCTGGGCTCAGGCGAGGCCAGGAAGGCTGTCACAGCTGGCTGCTCCCTGGACCAGGGGATTGGGGGTACTGCTACCCCGAACAGCCTCTCAGTGCCCACCAGGACAAGGCACCCCCTCCTAGGTGCAGACCTCAGCTTTGGCCTCACTGGGCGTGGGCTTCCACCCAGCAGCGTCTGAGGTGGGTGAGGGTGGGGCGTGGAGCTCTCCCCACAGTGCAGCCTGCACAGGTCACGGTGGCAGGTGCGTGTGTACCCCCTGTGAGTGGTTGCATGGCACCTCTGGAGGTGTGACCACAGGGCTTGGTGGGGGTCAGTGGGAGGGGTGCTCCCTGTTGCCTGAGAACGCTGCGGGGGGCTAGAGCGCCCCAGCCCACCACATGCACTTTTGAGTTGCGTATGTCTGGAGTATGAGTGGGACCCTGGAAACAGTCTTCCTTGGGCAGTGTACAACCTAGGCTCCCTGCTGGGCAGCCCTGAGTGGGCTCTCAGGCTGGGATCCAGGATGACACTCCCAGGGTCCAGAGCTGGCCCAGCAGCTGGCCCTGCTGGCAACCTTTGCCCACCCTCGTCCATGAGCACCTTCACACACACGCAAACCACACTCGTACACATGCATGACGCTGCACCCATTGGCAGAGGCTCAGTCCATTACACAAGAACCCGGCCCTGTGCTGGGGTCCCAGCTACTCAGGAGGTCAAGGTGGGAGGATTGCCTGAGCCGAGGAGGTTGGGCTGCCATTGGCCAAGATAGCACCACTGCACTCCAGCCTGGGTGACAGAACAAAACCCTGTCTCTAAAATAAATAAAAAAGAACCAGACGGCCAGGCACGGTGGCTCACGCCTGTAATCCCAGCACTTTGGGAAGCCGAGGCAGGTGGATCACCTGAGGTCAGGTGTTCAAGATGAGCCTAGCCAACATGGTGAAACCCCATCTCTACTAAAAATACAAAAATTAGCCGGGCATGGTGGCACACACCTGTAATCCCAGCTACTCAGAGGCTGAGGCAGGAGAATCGCTTGAACCCAGGAGGCAGAGGTTGCAGTGAGCCGAGATCACGCCACTGCACTCCAGCCTGGGCGACAGAGCAAGACTCCCTCTCAAAAAAAAGAAAAAAAAAAAAAAAAGGCTGTGCCCAGTGGTTCATGGCTGTAATCCCAGCACTTTGGGAGGCTGAGGAGGCCAGATTATGAGGTCAGGAGTTCGAGACCAGTCTGGCCAACATAATGAAACCCCGTCTCTACTAAAAAATACAAAATATTAGCCGGGTATGGTGGTGGGCGCCTGTAATCCCAGCAACTCGGGAGGCCGAGGCAGGAGAATCGCATGAACCAGGGAGACAGAGGTTACAGTGAACCAAGATTGCACCATTACACTCCAGCCTGGGTGACAGTGTGAGACTCCGTCTGAAAAAATAATAAAGAACCAGACTCCCCACATCCAGCAATCTCAGGCACTTATTAAGTACCTGCTGTGTGCCAGAAACCTTGCTGGTGATCCAGAGGAAACAGTCCTAGCAGGTGGCTGGGCAAGAGTCTGGGGTCCTGAGGTGGAGGCAGGAGGGGCTGGAATCCTTGCCAACGGTGTCCCTCCAAGGAAGCCCGGCCCAGGCACCCACGCTTTAGTCGCCCTCCCCTGGGGCCTGAGAGTCCCCCTGAGCTCACACACCTGGGTCAGTTCCAGGCAGCCCCACCCAAGGTGGAGCTGTGAGGCCCCAGAACTGAGAAGCCGCCATCATTCCTGGCTCTGCCACTGAGAGGCTGCCCAGAGCCAGGCCCACTTAGCACCTGGCGGCCAGGCGTCCTCCCGCTGGGCACCCGATGCCTAAGCACCCTGCCAGCCCAGGCAGTGTTAATGAGGCCGTCATGCCAATCAGAGGGACAGGCCGCCTGGGCTCCTTCACAGCCTGGCTGGGCGTTGGGGAGTGGAGGTGAAGCCAGTGTCTGTGTCTGAGGCGGGGGGACCATGGGCACAGCTGCCCCTCCGGCGTCCCCTACGACTCACAGACCAACTGAGCTGTGCCCTCACAATCCAACGGGAGGCTGGGCACAGTGGCTATGCCTGTAATCCCAACACTTTCAGAGGCCGAGGCGGGCAGATCACTTGAACTCAGGAGTTCGAGACCAGCCTGGGCAACATAGTGAAACCCCATCTCTACTAAAAAATACAAAATATTAGCCGGGTATGGTGGTGGGCGCCTGTAATCCCAGCAACTCGGGAGGCCGAGGCAGGAGAATCGCATGAACCAGGGAGACAGAGGTTACAGTGAACCAAGATTGCACCATTACACTCCAGCCTGGGTGACAGTGTGAGACTCCGTCTGAAAAAATAATAAAGAACCAGACTCCCCACATCCAGCAATCTCAGGCACTTATTAAGTACCTGCTGTGTGCCAGAAACCTTGCTGGTGATCCAGAGGAAACAGTCCTAGCAGGTGGCTGGGCAAGAGTCTGGGGTCCTGAGGTGGAGGCAGGAGGGGCTGGAATCCTTGCCAACGGTGTCCCTCCAAGGAAGCCCGGCCCAGGCACCCACGCTTTAGTCGCCCTCCCCTGGGGCCTGAGAGTCCCCCTGAGCTCACACACCTGGGTCAGTTCCAGGCAGCCCCACCCAAGGTGGAGCTGTGAGGCCCCAGAACTGAGAAGCCGCCATCATTCCTGGCTCTGCCACTGAGAGGCTGCCCAGAGCCAGGCCCACTTAGCGCCAGGCGTCCTCCCGCTGGGCACCCGATGCCTAAGCACCCTGCCAGCCCAGGCAGTGTTAATGAGGCCGTCATGCCAATCAGAGGGACAGGCCGCCTGGGCTCCTTCACAGCCTGGCTGGGCGTTGGGGAGTGGAGGTGAAGCCAGTGTCTGTGTCTGAGGCGGGGGGACCATGGGCACAGCTGCCCCTCCGGCGTCCCCTACGACTCACAGACCAACTGAGCTGTGCCCTCACAATCCAACGGGAGGCTGGGCACAGTGGCTATGCCTGTAATCCCAACACTTTCAGAGGCCGAGGCGGGCAGATCACTTGAACTCAGGAGTTCGAGACCAGCCTGGGCAACATAGTGAAACCCCATCTCTACTAAAAATACAAACATTAGCCGGGCATGGTGGCAAGTGCCTGTAGTCCCAGCTACTTGGGAGGCTGAGGCAGGAGGATTGCTTGAGCTCGAAGGTAGCAGTGAGCCAAGATTGTGCCACTGGACTCCAGTTTGGGCGAAGAGCAAGACCCTGTTTCAAGAAAAAAAATTTTTAAAAAGATCCAATGGGAAATTGAAGTGCAGGCAGCACCCCAGCTTGTGCCCCTAATCCAGAGATACTTCCCTGGCATCGGTGCTAGGCCTGGGTCCTCAGTTCCCTTGCAACTGTGGGAGAGAGTGTGTGGGCATCGTCTCTGGGGAGGGGGTGTAACCCCAGACTGTGTCTTCCTAGGATGGTGCCTGGCACATGACCTGGTTTCGCACACAGTTGGTGCTTCATAAAAGCGTGTGAATCACAGAGGCGGATGAGGCCGGCGCACAGGGAGAGGCAAGACCAGGCCCTGGCGTCGTGGCGTGCACCGTGCCCTAGGCGGTATTTGAATGTGGGAGTCTCTCTGCCCCCACCCGGGCCCTGAGCATGGGGACAGTGAGGACAGGTTCCTTTTCCTCCCGTGTCTGCAGGTGCTTGGCACGGTTGCTATCCAGGGCTTACAGGACAGAGGAAGAGTCCCTGAGTCTGTGCACACTCTGCCACCGTGGCCCCGCCCATCTCTGGGGCCCACAGGTGCCCAGCCCAGGCCCCTTGCTTTTGGCTAGACTCCTGCCATATGGGGACCCCCATGATAGCCATTCAGGAGACGGGGGGCCCAGGAGGTCAGGGAATTGACTCCAGGTCATGACCAGAAGTGCCCTGCGGCCCCTGTTCCCAGTCCCCAGGGAGATCTGAGGGTCACATGCTGTTATGAGGAAGAGGACACCAGGTTGGCCCTGGCCCAGGGTGGGCAGCTCTGGTTTCACTACTTGGCTCTGAGCCCCTGAGGCAGGTGCGGGCGCCAGGCACGGTGAGCAGGGCCCAGTGCCCCTCAGGCTCTGGGGAAGGGGTGCAGCTAGGCAGCCCAGAGCAGGGAGGGGCTGGGGACAGGTGTGACCACTTCCAGTCTCTCCCAGCCTGCTGGCCTTCATCCTCTCCCAGATTCCAAGGGTCACCACTGGGAGCATGGGGTGGACAGCGTCCCACCAGCCTCCTGGATGCACATCCGTAAAGACTCCAAAGTGAAGTGAGGCTGGCTTCACTCCAGCTCACAGCAGAAGAAGGGGCAGCCTCAGGACCAGCGACTTGCTCAGAGTGCACAGGAGTGTGCCGGGGCCAGGCCAGACTGGGGCCTCTGACCCTGACCCTTGCCTGCAGGGCTGCACGGCCACTGTGTTCCACCTTCCAGTGTGGGCGGCAGTCCAGTGCGCGTCATTCTGGGGCCTGAGCAGCGTGGCCAGAGGCTGGCCTGGGGTGGAGATGACCTGGCTGTAGGTTGTGGGTGGGGTCCTTGCTGTGCTCCTGGCAGCAGGAATCAGAGAAGCAGTAACTGGATCCAGCTGAGGGCCTGGCAGCCACCGAGGGTACACGCGGCGATCGGGTTGCGGCCAAGCCGTGAGCGTTCCACCGGGCAGCTCTACATCGGGAAGGGCCGGCCCAGGCTGGGAGCCCACACGGGGTTGGAGGAGGTGGGCAGGAACGAGAGAGGCCAAAAGGTGCAGGGCCATGAAGAGGGGCGCTGGGCCTACGCTGTGAGGAAACGGGTCAACCCTGCCCTCCAGCCCTGCGGGCCCTCAGGCTCTGGACTCTGTGCAATCCAGGAGTGGCTGAAATCCAAGCTCAGAGTAATGAAAAGGACTGCTCCTAAGCTGCACATCTCTGATCCGCTCTCCCCGCCCGCCCTCTGCTGCCCGCGGGCCCTCTAAGAGCTTCCCAGGCTGCTGCCGCAGGTCAGAGGCGGGTCAGAGCACACAGGGGGTCCATGACGCCGGCTGGGTCTGGGGGCCGTGGGCCAGCTGAGCCGACCTGGGGTTCTGGGGGACCGCGGGGGCCGTGAGCACTCAGAGGGAGCGTCCCAGGCCCCTCCGGGGACCCGGCCAGCCTGAAGATGCCGACCAACGGCCTGCACCAGGTGCTGAAGATCCAGTTTGGCCTCGTCAACGACACTGACCGCTACTTGACAGCCGAGAGCTTCGGCTTCAAGGTCAATGCCTCGGCGCCCAGCCTCAAGAGGAAGCAGACCTGGGTGCTGGAGCCCGACCCTGGACAAGGGTCGGCTGTGCTGCTCCGCAGCAGCCACCTGGGCCGCTACCTGTCGGCAGAAGAGGACGGGCGCGTGGCCTGCGAGGCAGAGCAGCCGGGCCGTGACTGCCGCTTCCTGGTCCTGCCGCAGCCAGATGGGCGCTGGGTGCTGCAGTCAGAGCCGCATGGCCGCTTCTTCGGAGGCACCGAGGACCAGCTGTCCTGCTTTGCCACAGCCATCTCCCCGGCCGAGCTGTGGACCGTGCACCTGGCCATCCACCCGCAGGCCCACCTGCTGAGCGTGAGCCGGCGGCGCTACGTGCACCTGTGCCCACAGGAGGACGAGATGGCTGCGGACGGTGACAAGCCCTGGGGCGTGGACGCCCTCCTCACCCTCATCTTCCGGAGCCGACAGTACTGCCTCAAGTCCTGTGACAGCCGCTACCTGCGCAGCGACGGCCGCCTGGTCTGGGAGCCGGAGCCCCGGGCCTGCTATACGCTGGAGTTCAAGGCGGGCAAGCTGGCCTTCAAGGACTGCGACGGCCGCTACCTGGCACCCGTGGGGCCTGCTGGCACCCTCAAGGCCGGCCGAAACACACGGCCCAGCAAGGACGAGCTCTTCGACCTGGAGGAGAGTCACCCTCAGGTGGTGCTGGTGGCTGCCAACCACCGCTACGTCTCTGTGCGGCAAGGTAAGGAGGGCACAGGTGGTGACCTCCTGAGGGGTGCTGGGACCCCCCCTGCTTCGGGAAAGAGGCCGTGGGCGTCTCACGGGGAGTGGCGTCGTGTCTATGTGTTCGCATGTTTGTTCTGGGCTGGGGGTCCATGTGGGACATGTGTGGCCACTCAGGGTCGGGTGGGTGGGCCTCCGGCCATGTCCAGGGGACCCCCACTGAGGGGTGGTGGCTTCAGGGTCAGAGGCAAGGGTTCCCGGCCTTTCTCAGCATAGCTGGAGAATGTCTCAGCCAAGCCCTGGGCAGTTGCAGAATCTGAGACTGGAGAGGTGTGGGCCAGGCGATGGGCAGTGCCCAGCAGGGGCAGGAGGCCTGACCTGGTGCCATGAGGGGCATATGGGCAGGAGGCTGTGGGGGTCCCATATTTCCCCTTCTCTTCCTCCACCCCATTTTCCGGACTTTATTTATTTTTTGAGAGGGAGTCTTGCTCTGTCGCCCAGGCTGGAGCACAGTGGCGTGATCTTGGCTCACTGCAAACTTCGCCTCCCGGGTTCATGCCATTCTCCTGTCTCAGTCTCCCGAGGAGCTGGGACTACAAGCGCCTGGCACAACGCCCAGCTAATTTTTTTTGTATTTTTTAGTAGAGACAGGGTTTCACTATGTTAGCTAGGATGATCCCGATCTCCTGACCTCGTGATCCGCCCTCCTTGGCCTCCCAAAGTGCTGGGATTATAGGCGTGAGCCACTGCACTCGGCCGCATTTTCTGGACTTTAAAGGAAGTTGGGGAGGGGCCCAGGGCAGGGCAGGGAGCCCAGGGTAGGGCGGGGATGGCACCACCATGTGCCTGACCAGTGGAGCCTCATGTCCTCAGGAGTTGGGGGGCTTAAGGTCAGCTCCAGTGCTGGAGGACACAGTGGGCAGGCGGCCTCACCCGGGGCCTGGGCTCCTGGTGGGGAGGCACCTCCCTCCCCCAGTGAGGCATGGCCTGGCTCTCCCCAGTTCCTGGGTCACCAGTTGCCTCCCTGCGTGACTCCCTCCACCGCCTGTGGGGTGAACCCCAGCAGTTCCTCCTTCCCCACTAGCTGAGCTCTGAGGCAGACGCCCTGGCCCGGGCAGTCACTACCCACCTGGGCTTCTGGCTCCATGCACCCCAGAGTGGATCTGAGGTAGTCTGAAGAGGCAAGGTGGGGAGAGCCGGGTGCATGGAGCTCCTTCTCCCAACTCGGGTCCCTCCAGACCAGCATCAGCTGGGCAATGAGAGCTCCCCTATCTCCTGGCAGCTCCAGGTGCCCACCAAGCCCCTGCCCTGACGGATGTCCAGGCCCCCTGGGCACACGGATACTCTGGGGCCAGACAGCAGAGGCCCCACCCTGCACACTGAGAGGGGAGCCTGGCCATGGCTATGGGGTCCTGCACCTGCAGTCAGTGTCCTCGGGCCTATCCCAGCAGTGACAGGGTCCCAGGAGCGAGGGTTCAACTGTGGATGCATGGTCATGGCCCTTCCTTCCCATCACAGCCCACAGTCCAGCTGTAATGCCTGCTGGCCTGGGCCTAGGCCCGGGCATGTGGCCATCCTTAGGAGGTTAAAGGGGGTAAGTGGGACAGTGGTAGTGAGAATGCTTCCTCCATGGGAGCCAAAGACACTGGACCTTTAGCCATTTGTAAGTGGACAGCTTGGGAAGCAGACTCAAAGCGGCAGCCATGGCAGTGGCCATGGCATTGGTGGTGTGATGTGGATGGTGGCATGGAGGTGGAGGTGAGGGCGGTGGTGACAGTGTGGTGGCAGCGGCGACGATGATGGCGATGGTGGTGATGGTGATGGTGATGATGAAGGTGATGGTGATGATGGTGATGGTGGTGATGGTGATGGTGGTGATGATGGTGATGGTGGTGATGAAGATGATGGTGATGGTGATGGTGATGATGGTGATGGTGGTGATGATGGTGATGGTGGTGATAGTAATAGTGATGATGGTGATGGTGATGGTGGTGATAGTAATGGTGATGATGGTGATGGTGATGGTGATGATGGTGGTGATAGTAATGGTGATGATGGTGATGGTGAGGGTGGTGATAGTAATGGTGATGATGGTGATGGTGATGGTGATGGAGAAGTGCTGATAGTAAGAGTGGTGGAGGGATGGGGACTGTATGGACCATTTTTCAGTCTCTTGATCCTCAACCACCCTGCATCTGACCCCATTGTCCTTTTGAGGGGAGAATCCCCTACTCAAGACTGGCTCCCATCTCTCACTTTACAAGCAGGAAGCAGCAGCCACTCACCTCCCTGCCTTCAGCAGGGCCAAGGGTGAGGACCTGGCCGCCAGGTGTTTCAGGCTCTGGATTGGCGGCCAGTGCTGTGGGGAGTGGGACATGGCATCTCAGTCCTGGGGCATGGAACCCCCCAGCTTCCAAGGCAGCTGCAGCGTGGGAGGTGCCATAGTGTCCCCCACCCGGCCTCTGTGGAGCGGCCACATGGCAGGCCCTTCATCGAGGCATCTCCCTGGCTGGGCGGCCCCTAAGCCTCTCTTCCCCCTGGGAGGGGAGTGAGCACCCAGGCTTGCATGTATCCCCGCCATCAGCCAGAGCCTGCTCATTTCTGCCAACAGACAGCATGGCAGGCAGTGTCCGATGCTGCCAGTAACAGAAAACTGGCCACAGGCTGGCTCCAGCAGTGACATAATCATCTGAAACGGGAGTCCAGAGCCCTGGGCATGGTGGGTTCCCAGGCAGCCACCATCACCCGCTCAGCAGCTTCCCCGGGGTCCTCTGTTCTTACTTCTTTGCTGAACCACTCTCCTGGGTCAGCTCTGACCTCAGCCTGACGCCCTCACGGTCGTAATGTGGCTGCTGGTATTCCAGGCCTCACATCCAGGCAGGACCAAGTCCAGAGGAAAAAGAGGCACTGGCTCTGCTTGTGTCTTCTCAGGAGTAAGAACACTTTTCCCCTAAGTCCTAGGAGACACTTTTTCACGCTCTTTGGCCAGAACTGAGTCCCCCAGCTGCTCAACTAGCCCCTCTGGAGTTGGGTAAAACCAGTGTTGCCCAGGCCAGTGCCAGCTGCACTCCTCTCCTATTTTGAGGTCATTTCTCTAGAAGCAGATGGCTGAATAAGGCAGCCCCAGACAGCATTCTGTCTGAAGGAGGTGTGGGGGCAACACTAGGGACACCAAAGTGCTGGTCCGGGAGGCATGGTGGCGGGGACAGCCCTGCGATGCTGTGGCTTTATCCCTACTCTTCCTTCAGTGCCCGCAGGGACGGCATTCCCACGCCCCTCATGGGCCCCTCCTCCTGAGGGGTCCTGCTACCCCCGGGCACCATGTCAGTGTTGCCCTCCACTGGGCCCAGACAGCTGCTCTTAGCTCAGTATTTGCCAGGATCTAGAGCTGGTGGCAGTGGGGTGCTGGCACGAATGCTCGGCCACAGTGCAGGGGACATGCTGGGCGCTCCTCTGCATCTGATCAGTGGTGAATGTGAGAGAGACCCCAGCCTGGGGTGTGAGGGGCAGCTTTGGGGCTCTCAGAAGGGAACAGGTCCCAAGCTCTCTGGCACAGTCATAGCCTGGTGCCCTCTCCCCTGGGGACAGAGTGGGATGGGATCTGGCCCCACCCTCAGGCCCTGTGGGGCTCTGCCCACCACTCCCTCCCAGTCCCCAGCTGGACAGGCCACTAGAGTCCCTGGGCCTCGTGGGGGGCTCTGCAATTTGATACATCACTCCCAGTGGCCAGTTGCCATGGAAACAGGGAGGTGGCTTGTGGGAGGAGCCAGGGACTCAGTTCACAGAAGATCCTGGGGAGGCTCTGGTGTCTGCTGTCCCCATGCTGGGCATGGGTGCCCCTCCATCCGCTCGCAGGAACCCCAGATGGAGCCCAGGGCAGTCTTGTCCTCCCCCAGGGGTCCCGGGAGACCAAGCACAGATGGTTGGGGCTTCTGTAGAGGTGACAGGGACCAGCCCCTGCCTGGTGCCCAGGGGTGCCCCCATCACCATCCCCATCCCCACCATCCCCATCGTTAGGTCCTGCCTGTGCCCACCCAGCAGCTTAGGGTGAATTATAAATAGAGGCTGGTGTAAGCCCTGGGTCAAGAGAGCAGGGCAAGGAGATTACCAGCTGATTACTGATTAGCAGAGTGGGGGCTGTGCCAAGCAGAAGGGCCTGGCTCCTGGGGGTGTGGAGGGAGGTCACGGCTCCCTTGGGGACAGTGTGCAGGGTCCACAGACAGCACACATGGCCCTGGGGCAGGGTTCCCAGGCTCTCTGAGAGGTGCCTTCCAAATCTTCTCAAGTCAAGAGATTTCTAGATGAGACTCCTCTGGCTTCAGGGGTGCCCCCAAAAGCATGCCCCCATCCCCTGCTCCCTACCCAGGAGAGGCGTGAGGGGCTTCCCCATCTCCTCCCTCCAGGGGTCAACGTCTCAGCCAATCAGGATGATGAACTAGACCATGAGACCTTCCTGATGCAAATTGACCAGGAGACAAAGAAGTGCACCTTCTATTCCAGCACTGGGGGCTACTGGACCCTGGTCACCCATGGGGGCATTCAGGCCACAGCCACACAAGTGTGAGTGCACACATCCCTTCCTCCTCCAACATCCCCGTTACCACCATCACCATCCCCACCATCATCTCCATCTCTACCATCACTATCATCCCCATCTCCATCATCTCCATCTCCACCACCATCCCCATCTCCATCCCCATCTCCACCACCATCCCCATCTCCATCTCCATCATCTCCACCACCATCCCCATCTCCACCACCATCCCCATCTCCACCACCATCCCCATCCCCATCTCCATCCCCATCTCCATCCCCATCTCCATCCCTATCTGTATCCCCATCACCATTCCCACCACCTGCACCATCACTTCCGCCACCATCACTGCTTCGGCCGTGAGGACGGCCGTGGCAGCTCAGAGAGGAAAGCCCACTGGGGCCAGGTAGCTCCTGATGGTGGCGGGTGTGTCAGTGGAAGGCAGGCTCCTGTTCCACTCCTTGGAACCTGAGGATAGGGAAGAGTTACCCTGCACCCCCATCTCCTGCTGTCCTGAGGAGACCTTTCGCTGCTCCCTCCAGTTCCGCCAACACCATGTTTGAGATGGAGTGGCGCGGCCGGCGGGTGGCACTCAAAGCTAGCAATGGGCGCTACGTGTGCATGAAGAAGAATGGGCAGTTGGCGGCCATCAGCGATTTTGTGGGTGAGCACTCTGCCTGCCAGGGACTGGGGCAGGGGCTGTCTCCACCCAGGGACAGCACCTGCCCAGACACCCCATCTCCACCGAGAGCTGGACCCTCCCTAGCCCGTGGAACGGCTGCTGTCACGGAGTCATACTTGCTAGTCAAGATAACCGTCTTGGCAAGGGAAACAGTTAGGCCCTTATGGGAGTGTCCTTTCCTCCGCTGCCGGGAACCTCCTAGGCACCTTGCCAAGGCCGCACATGAGGCAATGGCAGGCCTGGGCCCCTAAGTCCAGGTGTGGCGCTTCCCAGGGGCCCCCCCCCCGGCCTGGACAGGGAAGGTGGCGGGAGCGGCAGCGCAGCAGACGCTCTCCCTGCCAGGCAAAGACGAGGAGTTCACCCTCAAGCTCATCAACCGGCCCATCCTGGTGCTGCGCGGCCTGGACGGCTTCGTCTGCCACCGCCGCTGCTCCAACCAGCTGGACACCAACCGCTCTGTCTACGACGTTTTCCACCTGAGCTTCAGCGACGGCGCCTACCAGATCCGAGGTGCGCGGCGGGCAGGGTGGGCACGCGGGAGCGGGTCGCAGCGGGCAGGTGGGCACCCCGCCAACGCCGTCCCGTCCCCCAGGCCGCGGCGGCGGATTCTGGTACACGGGCAGCCACGGCAGCGTGTGCAGTGACGGCGAACGCGCCGAGGACTTCGTCTTCGAGTTCCGCGAACGCGGCCGCCTGGCCATCCGCGCCCGGAGCGGCAAGTACCTGCGCGGCGGCGCCTCGGGCCTGCTGCGCGCCGACGCCGACGCACCGGCCGGGACCGCGCTTTGGGAGTACTGAGGCCCGGACCAGCCTATCGCGCATTAAACTGTCTGTCCCGCAGCTGCGCGTGGGCTTTCGGGTGCCGCTTGAGGGTCCTGCAGCTGTAGGGGGAGGAGGCCCACAGTTTCCCACAAACCAGAGCGCGCCCAGAACCTCCCAGTGCCCAAGGACTCGCGTCCAGGAGGTGGCCTTGTGGATGGGCAGGGTGACAGGGCAGGGTGACCCAGGCCGGTGGAGGTGGGGCGGAGGGGAGGTCTTGAGGACGTGGGGAAGATGGGGGCTGGGGGTGGGTGGCGGACTGAGCCTGGGCGGGGTGAGGCCACCAACACATATCACAGATGACCTCACTGGACACCACCCCTCCCCAGCCTAGGTCCTCAACCCTCCCTAGCCCCTGGCAACCCCTTGCTCTCCCCCTGACTCTCAGAGCAAGACACGGGCACAAGCGCTGGACAAAGGTCAGAGCCAGAGGCTCCTGCCAGGGGGGCAGAGGACAGCCGGGGAGCACAGCGCGGATGGGACCGTTAAGGGGTGCAGGCCTGCCTTGGTGGGTGGCTCACCTAGCCCCCTCTCTCCCAGCAACACAGGCTGTGGCCCCACTGAAAAGGCCGGATTTGGAGTGTCACCAGGGGGGCCTTGCTCCCTGAGATGTGGCGACCACTGAGGGAGACAAACCCTGACTCGGAGCACCCCGCGGGCCCCTCCCACTCCACGGAGAGGAAGGCGGGAGAGCCAGGCGGTGGCCCCAGGCCTCCCAGACACCCCCGTGGAGCAGAGCCCTCCTCAGGGGTAACTGGGTCACAGCGAACTTTTTCCTTGGAGGCCACCCCCGTGCTGGGGGCTCCCAAGCAGTGCCATGACTCTGGAGGGAGCCCAGTGAGAGGGTGGCAAGGGGTGAGAAAACACAGCCGAGGCTGGAAGTTTCACAGACAGGGTCGTTTGTCACAGCAGAGAAGCACCTCACGGCTCCTACCCGCACTCTTCGCGGACAGTGCCTGCAGCGGGAGGCACGAGCACCCTCCCCGGATGAAAACACCAGCACCAGGAGGCGGGCCGTAGCCCAGTCTGAGGGAGGGGGCTGGGGGCTGGGGCTCAGGGCACCCCCAGGCCACAGCGCCACCGAGTGGCCCTGATAATAGTGCACAGTGCTGGGTACAGCCCCGGCCGGGGGCACCTAGTTGTTGAGCATTCCGGCCACAGGCCACCCGATGGCCCTTCCTTGGTGTGGCGCGAGGCCACGGGCACTTGCAGGAGCTCCCTGCATGCTGTTTTGTGCTTTGGTCTCAGGGAGCACCCTCCCACCTCGGGGTCCCAGAGTGGGCAGCCGGGCAGGTGTGAACAGTGTGACAGGGGTACCGTGGGGCGCCTGGTAGCGCCACCCAGAGGGGCAGCTGGTGCTCCTGGTGGTGCGGCAGCAACAGTTACAAACTCACCCCAAGTCCAAACCCCAGAAATCCTGTTTCTCCGGCCCTTAGGGTCCAGAATGCACCGCACCGCCTCCCGGCCTCAGGGGCTGCTGCTGCGGCGGGAAGGCTGCCCAGCAGTGAGGAAGGCGAGTGCAGGGGCTGCGGCCGCGGTCAGAGGAGGAGAGAGACCAGCAGAGGACGCGAAGCTGGACCGGCCAGGTTCAGAGCCCACCTCGGTTGCTCCCAATCAGAATCTGCTTTGTGCACCTCGGTTGCTCCCAATCAGAATCTGCTTTGTGCTTCGCGGCCTTCAAGCACTTTCATGAGTGTTCTGTTCCCACGTGGCCAGGTCACACCTTCCCTGACGGCTCTGACCAGGCCAACTCAGTTTTCCTCTAAAACCACGAAGGCCTGGGGGGCTGTTACAGAGGCTGGAAGCGTAACCAGAGCCGTGGCCAGGGCAGGCCCGCCTGGTCACAGCAGGATGAGGCTGGGGTGGCGCAGCTGCCGGTACACCTGCAGCAGCCTCTGGGCGGTGGCGCAGGAGCTGGCCTCATCCTCTGTGCAGAGCCGGTCGCGCAGGGTCTGCACCTCCCGCAGCAGCGTCTGCAGGTGGAGCAGACACAGCTCAGGCCCCCACCTGGCCCTGGGGCTGTCACTGGATGTCTCTGGGGGACCCACCACTCGCAGGACCATACTTGGGAAGTGACAGGTGGTCCAATGATGAACACTCATCTGGAACCTAAAAACATGGGACACGCAGCCTGGCCTGGACACCTGGCCCCTCAAGGAAGACGAGGGGCAGGAAAGGCTGTGGTCACTCGGACTCTGCCCCAGGCCCACGGGAGCCGAGCCCACGCACTGCGAGGACTCTGCAGACTCCGGGTGACTGGAGAAGGGCCTGCCGACGGGCGCTCCTGGCTACCCAGGTGGAGGGGATTGTCCAGGGCACCGGGTGCTCACCTCGTGGTTGGCATGGATCTGGCGGAGATACTGCACACGGAGATCAGGAGCGCTGGAGCCCTGGGCGGCCTGCTCTGTCACCATCGTCTGGGGGCGACACAGGGGACATGCTGGAGAGGGTGTGCCCCAGCACCTGCCCCCACACCCCTCGAAGCAGGGTGACCCTCTCCTTCTATCTGCCCAGCGCTGCCTCCCTGCCTGGCACCCCCCCAGCCGCTTTGCTGTTTTCCACCCCACTGTTCACCTCGACTTCCTGCCCTCCAGAGCCCCTGACCTGAGAGTTTCTTGGAAATGAACTTGTTTGGTTCTTTTCTCTCCACTAGTGGGACCTTCCTTGTCCCCAAGAGCCACACTCTATGCAGATCCAGACCTGCCTGCTGCCCCCTTCTCCCATCCTGGGCTAAAGGCCGCTCAGGAGCACAGACCAGCCAGGGAACTGCCTTAGCATCTTGTGCAGAGACCCTGGCCTGGCCATTCACTCAGTCACGCAGCACAGCCCAGTGTGGACTGCGGCACCGGCTCCCTGGGCTTGGATCTAAACTTCCCAGATGGGCTCAGGCCTGTAATCCCAGCACTTTAGGAGGCTGAGGCAGGCAGATAACTTCAGGTCAGGAGTTCAAGACCAGCCTGACCAACACGGTGAAACCCCATCTCTACTAAAAATATAAAGAAATCAGCCAGGCACAGTGGCTCACGCCTGTAATCCCAGCACTTTGGGAGGCCGAGACGGGCGGATCACGAGGTCAGATCGAGACCATCCTGGCGAACACGGTGAAACCCCATCTCTACTAAAAAACACAAAAAACTAGCCGGGCGAGGTGGCGGGCACCTGTAGTCCCAGCTACTCAGGAGGCTGAGGCAGGAGAATGGTGGGAACCCGGGAGGCGGAGCTTGCAGTGAGCTGAGATTGGCCACTGCACTCCAGCCTGGGCGACACAGAGCGAGACTCCGTCTCAAAAAAAAAAAAAGAAATTAGCTGGGCCTGGTGACAGGAGCCTGTAATTCCAGCTACTCGGGAGTCTGAGAGAGGAGAATCACTTGAACCTGGGAGGCGGAGGTTGCAGTGAGCCGAGCTCACTCCACTGGACTAGCAGCCTGGGTGACAGAGCCGGAGCTCTATCTCAAACAAACAGATAAATAAATACAACTAAATTTCCAGATGAGCCTGGGCAGTGAGGTTCCTGCAGGCTCTTGGAGCAAAGCAACTGAGAAGAGATCCTGACACCCCGAGGGGCAGCACTGGCCTGCCTGGGGTCCCAGAAGTGCTGGTAGCTGCTGTGTGCTGGGTAGGGTCCTGAGAGCACTCCTGCTCGCGGGGTGGGCACCTAGCTGTTGGGGGACACTAAGGTCTGCAGCCCAATACGAGATCTGTGTCCAGGAGGCAGCAGCAGTGCGTGGGCTCCTGTGGGCTGACTCAGGCCCCCCCAGATTCATACGGAAACCCTAGTGCCAGCACTCAGAGAGTGGCTGCGTCTGGAAATGGGGTCTCTGCAGATGACCAAGATGAGATCGCGGGAGTGGGTTTGACCCCACATGACTGTGTCCTTGTAAGATGAGAAAAATCTAGATAGACACAAACCCAGGGGCTGGAGCTCTGCTCTTGGCAGGGAACAGGACTTTCTTGGGGACCAGATGGCCCAGTGGGCAGAGCTTCCTTTGACAGGCAACACCTCAGCTCTGGAGATCCCCGTGGTGCCCCCAGCACTCAGGACAAGACCCCCAAGCCCAGGCAGCCCCCCATCATGGTGCCGTGAGATCACTGGGGTCACAGTGCTGCGTGACATGCTCATCAGGGTCATGGAAGTGTAGGGTGCAGGGTCCTTGCACCAAACGAAATCTCTGGGTCATGGTGCTGTGTGAGCTGACGTGTTCATTGGGATCGGCCATCTGAGCCACCTGGCGGGGCTGGGCAGAGTCACTGCTCGCAGAGGGGCCTCGTCTCCAAGCGTCACCACAGTGCCCACGGGAGTTGAGCTGGCATCAGGCCGCAGGCCCGGGGTCTCAGGGTTGGGGAGGCCTGGGCATGCACGTTGATAAGCCCAGGTGGAGCCGAGGCAGGGACCACCCCTAACAAGAAACTCCAGAACCGGTTTCTAGGGTTGCTGCAGACCCACTGTGTGGGCCAAAGCTGTGCTACAGTCCTAGTGGGTAGGTGTGACAGCTGCCCTGCCGAGGGCACAAGTTTAGACTTTAGCTTGGAACTTGGAGAGCTTCTTCTCAGATCTGGCAGCCGCTGGCCCAAGCTGGCTCTGGGCACAGCATGGAAGCAGCTATTCCTGTGCCAGGGAACCCCTGGGGCTGTGAGTGGGGGGAGCTGCAAACTCCACTCTCTTGGCAAAGACGTGGAGGCTCCCAGCACCTTGTTCTAGGATCCACGCCCAGACCACGGCCTCTCTATGCAGCCTCTGCCCAGCCAGAGAAGGGAGGAAACCCTGGGCTGACCTCGCAGGTCACAAATAGAAGCCCACTGGCCTCGTAGCCCGGGCAGTCCTTGCACTCACAGGTGCCCGGGGGTGACGGCACACCTGGGGAGCAGCACTGGCCTCCTGAGAGGGTCCACCTCAGGCCTCTCATCGCCCACAGCCCCACTGCACAACACTGCACTCAGCGGCAGAGCAGGCTTGGATCTTCCTACAACTCCCGTGCAGGGAGCTGCAGACCTCATGGCCAGCAGCTACAGGGTCCCATGCACGGACCTTAGCGAGCGACCCACAGATCCTGGCCGCCTTCCTGAGCGAGCCGACATACCTGCATGCGCCCGACAACGGCATGGTGCGCCCTGCAAATGTCGGCCAGAGAGGAGCTTTCCACTTGGATCTCCACTGCCTGGATGGGCCCGGCTGGGCAGAGGTCGGTCATGGCCACCTGCAACACAGGAGCCACCTCACTGCCTGCCTGAGGCACCCCCACCTGCCCGGGGGGCTCAGGCTACGCAGAAGCCTCCCCAGCTGGCAGCACGTGAGGCCAACCCCCTGCCCTGGGCTGTCCTGTACCCTGAAGGAGGCAGAGCTCAGTACCCTAGTTTAACTTTTTCCACCTGAAGAACCAGCCACCAACCAGTGGCAGGAACCTGCTCTGCACCCAGATGTGTCAGGAAGACCCCGTCCCTCAGACCTGTGGAATTCACGCAGGGCCCTGAGCCAGACTGGGGCCTGCTCCAGGAGGAGGCCACTGCAGTGACATGCCTTGTGCACAACCTACATGTAGATCTTGCATGCCCCTTGGGGGGCCCAGGCCTGTCCCCCCACACCAGGCATCACAGATCACCTCTGGCAGCAGGGTTAAGGCATCGCTGTGGGCACTGGGAGTTGCTAGGCCTATTTATGGGGCACCCACCTGTCCCTTAGGAAGGCTGGCCTGAGCTGAGCTGGACAACAAAGAATGGCAAGAACAGGCCAAGAGCCAGGAAACCAGGCTTATCCTCCACACGCCACGCAGGAGGTGAGACGCCAGGGGCCTCGGGAGCCCAGAGAGGACACAGTCACCTGCGGCTCTCCCACAGGGGCTGTTAGCACCGACCTGCAGGGCCACCAGCAGACCCAGCATCCGGGCTGAAAGGGCCACGCAGTGGGCAGTCAAGGCACCCGAGGGCCGAGGCTCGATTCCAAGTGCAGACTCTGGGCTGGGCATGGTGGCTCACGCCTGTAATCCCAGCACTCTGGGAGGCCGACACGGACAGATCACCTGAGGTCAGAAGATCAAGACCATCCTGGCCAACATGGTGACACCCCCATCTCTACTAAAAATACAAAAATAAGCTGGGTGTGGTGGTGGACGCCTGTAATCCCAGCTGTTCAGGAGGCTGAGGCAGGAGAATCGCTTGACCCCAGGAGGTGGAGATGGCAGTGAATCAAAATCGCGCCACTGCACTCCAGCCTGGCGACAAAGTGAGACTCCACCTCAAAAAAAAAACAAAACGAAAACCAAAACCAAAACCAAAACCAAGTGCAGACTCTGAGCCCAGGCAGCCTTGCCCATCCTCAGGGACACACGTGTCCTGGCAGCCTGGGCTACCCTGCAAGAGCCTCTGCTGGTGGGACGTGAGGGTGTGCTGGAGGTCATGAGTCTCTGGAAAGGTGTGCACGACAGGGGCTGTAGACCAGCAGTGCCATTCGCCATTCAGCAGCTTCCGCGACAGGTCTGGAGCCCTCTAGCAGTGCAGGGGGTTAACGGGGCTGCTGCTCCTGGGGTACGGGTGTTGCCAGCAGCACTGTGGAACCTGCTATGACTTCAGTACTGGACAGGGGAAGGGGGCCCTCATGGCGGACAGGGCTGGACAGGGCTAGTCCTCGGGGATCTGAGCTGCAAGGCCCTCCCCGCCTGAGTGGGGTCTGCTTGGCATGAGGGGAAATTGTCACATCATAGTTCTCTGGGGAGCTCGGGAGAAGGCTGCCGGGCCCCCGCCCAGGGTGAGGGGTCCTCCCGAGCTCCAACCCAGGGGCCCCACCCCAAGAACTGCTGGTGCCGAGGCTCGTTTGCCTGAACCCCTGCTTGCCTCTCGGACGATGAGGTGAACGTCAGCGCCATCAGGGGCCACTCCCTGGATGGAAGACAGCGCTCGAGCCCTCACGATGTCCACAGCAGCATTCTCAGCAAGGAGCCACTGCAGGGTGGCACAGCACAGGGGCACACCTGGAGGGGAGGCACCAGCCAAGAGCTCAGCGGATCCTACCAGGCAGGCTCAGCGGATCCTACCAGATGGGCATCTGCATGGCTGCCCCAAAGTGCCCTTCCCAGAGCCATCTAAGCATCCCAGCTATCCACAGCCCCACCCTAAGCTGCGGCACGGCCAGCTGACTCAGAGAAAGGAAGGAGGCCGCTGCTCAACTCTCTCTGCTGAACAAGTCCTGCGATGGGTGGGGGCCGTTACAATCTGTGGAAGGTGAAAACCCCACTTTGGGGGACCTGGCAATGCTCCTGGGGGCTGAGGTTAGGAGCAGGCAGCACCGCCCCGGCACCGGGCAGACACACCCCAGGGGATGGCTGCGGCTGCCCTCTCTGCACAAGCCCAAATCCAGAAACCATCCAAATACCCATCTGCAGTAGAATGGAGACATCTGCACCTGTGACAAAGGGTCTCACACACATGGGGGAGCAAAGGACAGACACGAAGAAGGGACCGCACACTCCATTTCGTGGAGCTCACAAACGCCTGATGAATGGTGCCGGGGCTTTGGGGTGAGTGCAGCTGACTCCCTCCCCGGGTGCCTGCAATATGAAGCTCACAGTTTGGCTCCTTTGTGACTCTGCTGTATTTAGGTTACGCTTCCATATATAGGTTTAAAAAACAAAACTGAAAAGAAATACATGGTGAAAGGGCCCCACATAAGGCCAGACCCCAACAGCGGACGGGATGCAGGCGAAGCTCATTTCCTGAGCAGAGCTCGCTGGGCTGGGGGGCCAGGCCGCCCCACAGGAGCAGCTGGGAGAAGGAGGAACAGCCCATGTCCACAGGCCCGAGGTGGGTGGGGTGGAGTGGCTCATGCAGGGAATCCCAGCATTCTGGGAGGCCCAAATGAGAAGATCACTTGAGGCCAGGAGCTCGAGGCTGCAGTGAGCCATGACTGCACCACTGTGCTCCTGCCTGGGCAACACAGCAAGTTCCTGTCTCTTTAAGGAAAAAAAAGAAAAATCCCCAAGGCTGAGCAAAGCCAATCAGTGCCACCAACCTGAGTGGCCGTCCTTCAAGGCAGCCCTGAGCAGCTCCGCTGACACTTTGATGGAAGCCACAGATGGGGGCAGGAACTCGGCCCGCAGGGAGGCGGGTCCTGCTGGCTGGCTGCCAGGCTCCCGACAAGTTTCCAGAAAAGTGGCCACGGGATCGCAGGTGGGGCCCAGTGGGGAGGGGGCCCGTGTGTGTGGCGGGGCCAGGCCAGGGAAGCGCAGACATTGCAGCATGTCCACTGTGTGCCTGCTCAGGGGCAGGCAAACGCCCTCTTGCTCAGGCAGGACGTCGGAGGGGCACTCATCCAGAAAGGGGTCCTCAGAGTCCGAGGGGGCGAGGGCCCCGCCCACCACCTCCCTGAGACTGTAGAACAGCGTGCAGGACACGGTCACAGGCAGGTCGAGCCCGCCGTTCTCACCAGGGCCCAGGGGTAGTGTCACCTCCCGCCGAGCACCGGGGCCGAGCTGGTCCACGGGGATGGTGTAGGTGATGGCCGAGCAGGCCGAGTCCAGGTCAAGGGCACAGGAGCTGGTGAGCACCTGGATGCACAGGGTCCACCCCTGGTCCAGGCTGAAGCTGCTGCTGTTCTCTAGCACGCAGGTGGCCATGAGCATGTCCTGTGTCTGCAGGCGGCTCCAGGTGGTGCTGGTGGTGCAGGAGATGGGCCTGGGGCCCGCGCCGCTCGACAGCAGTGCACAGCTCACGTTCATGGCCTCGTTGAGGCTTGTCAGGGCCTTGTTCCGCTGGTCAACCGCTTTCTTTAGAAAAGACACTCTGCGAAAGACAGACATGACCCCCAGGAGAGGGGGGGACACCCACAGCGCCCGGCGCCACATCTTGACTCAGGCCCAGTAGGCACCGAACCTGGCTCCACAAGCACACAGTGGGCGTGGAGCCACACCAGAGAGGGGGCTCCTGCTGCAGGAACATGTCTCTCCCGGTCCCACCCACATCGAGCCTCTCTGGAAGCTGCCTCAAGCCATCTGACCTGATCTCTCCTCTTGGGCTGCAGGAGGAAAGCAGACAGAGGATGGAGCTGGTGTTTGGGGGGCCTAGGCTAATCTGCCAGGTGCGAGAAGCCCACCACCCACATTTGGGCCACTCAGGGGCCAGGTGGTGCATTACCCCCCGCCTCGGCTCCCCAAAATGTTCCTAAGTGGGTCTCTTTTCTCCCTTGCAGCCTTTACAGCGAAAGCCAGGAGGGTGGCAGGCACTACAGAAACAGCCCTAACCACAGGGACCTGGGGTGACAGGCCCCTCGCTCTCAGGACCCCAGTGGTCACGTGAGAGGTGCAGGGGACGCTGCACGCACGCAGTGTGTTCTCTCTCAACGTCCCGAGGCCAGCGCTGCGGGAGGAAAAGCACACTGGATCCTGCGCTGAGAGCAGGGAGGGTGAGGACTCAGCAGGGGATGTCTCCTATGGCCCACTAGGGAGAAAGGGTGGGGTGCTGGGGGGCAGTCCTGGCTCATCTTCCAGAGGCAGCTGGGTAGCCTGTCACCAAACAGTGGGACGCCTGAGGCTCTCAAGATATCTTAAGAGGACAAGTAGGCCGGGCGCGGTGGCTCAAGCCTGTAATCCCAGCACTGTGGGAGGCCGAGACGGGCGGATCACGAGGTCAGGAGATCGAGACCATCCTGGACGGTGAAACCCCGTCTCTACTAAAAAATACAAAAAAAAAACTAGCCGGGCGCAGTGGCGGGCGCCTGTAGTCCCAGCTACTCGGGAGGCTGAGGCAGGAGAATGGTGTGAACCCGGGAGGCGGAGCTTGCAGTGAGCTGAGATCCGGCCACTGCACTCCAGCCTGGGCAGCAGAGCGAGACTCCGTCTCAAAAAAAAAAAAAAAAAAAAAAAAAAAGGAAAAGTAATGGCCGGGCGCGGTGGCTCATGCCTGTAATCCCAGCACTTTGAGAGGCCAAGGCAGGCAAATCACTTGAGCCCAGGAGTTTGAGACCAGCCTGGGCAACATGGTGAAATCCCATCTCTACTAAAAATACAAAAAGTACCTGGGCGTGGTGGATTACTCCTGTAATCCCAACCACTCAGGAGGCTGAGGCAGGAGAATCACTTGAACCTGGGAGGCGGAGGTTGCAGTGAACAGTGATCGTACCACAGCACTCCAGCCTGGGTGACATCGAGTGAAATTCCCTCTCAAAAAAAGAGGCCAAGTAGAGCGCTGTGGCTCACGCCTGTAATCCCAGCACTTTGGGAGGCTGAGGCAGGCGGATCACGAGGTCAGGAGATCAAGACCATCCTGGCTAACAAGGTGAAGCCTTGTCTCTACTAAAAAATAAAAAAAATTAGCCGGGCATGGTGGCGGGCACCTCTAGTCCCAGCTACTCGGGAGGCTGAGACAGGAGAATGGTGTGAACCCAGGAGGCGGAGCTTGCAGTGAGCCAAGATTGCGCCACTGCACTCCAGCCTGGGCAACAGTGTGAGACCCCATCTCAAAAAAAAAACCAGAAAAAAAAAAGGCCAAGTAATGGCCTCTCCTGGACCATTGCCACCCGAGGACACCCAGACTCAGGACGACCCCACACAGAGACACTACCTCCCAAGGATGGCAGCGCCAGCCTCTGCCCGGCCCAAGCCAAACTGCTCACCTCTCAGAGATGTCGCCAATTCCAGACAGCAGCTCCTTAATTTTCCGGCCTGCACTCTCTGTGGTCATCCTGGCTGGGCCAGGAATCTCCGAGTCTAGGTCCAGGCTGCAGGTCATCAAGCGGCCTTTGGCGGACAGGGCCAGGAGCTTGGTGCCACCTGGTGACAGACACACAAGGGGCCTGGTCCGCAGACTGGGAGAGGCAAGCAGCGTGACACTCAGGTGTTTCCCCAGGCTCCAGGAAAGAGGTCGGAAGACAAGACCAGTGTCCAGTGAGGAAGAGAAGGTCCCGAGACAAAGGCGCTGTCCCCACCCCGGGCTTCTGTCGGTGGCCCCGAGCCTTGCCATCTCTGACCCCGTCTGCAGCCCTCTCTTCCGCAGTGGAGACAGTCTGGTGTTTCCCTTCAAAGCCCTCCTCTCCTGCTGTGTGTGTATTTTCCGTGGCGAGATTTGTTAGCATGCTCACAATGTGAGCACACTCGGGGAAATGCACTGGTTGGGGGTGTGTGGCTCTATTTCTCTCACCCCAACACTGGGCACACACAGCTAAAACCCTCTCTGGCTTTTTCTGTGGAAAACACAAAACTAGAATTCCACGGTGCCATCTGCCTTCGGTCCAGAGCAGACTCACGGGCAGGCCACACACACAAAACTAGAATTCCACGGTGCCATCTGCCTTCGGTCCAGAGCAGACTCACGGGCAGGCCACACCATGACACGAGCAGGCGTTTGCAGCCTTTGGAAGAAAGGCGAGTCTGGAACAGACCTCCCTGGGCGGCTCGCCACATAAGACCTGCGGAGGAGGCACTTGCGGCCGACCCCCGAGTTTCCTCCGAGTCCACAGCCAGCAAGCAGCACACTCAGATCCTACCAGGCCCAGGGCCACACCCTAGACCCCAGAGGCAGAACAATGCATAGACCCACCACCAGCCCCTGCTTGACCTTGACACAAGAAGGGAGTTAACCACTAGGCTGTATCAACACCTGTCAGCGCTGCGAAAGAACAAGCCCAGGAAAGGAAGGCGGCCTGATAGCAGCAGACAGCCAAAAAGGACGCTCCACCCTGGGCTCCCACCTTTCATTTTAGCCAGCAGCTCATACCTTCACGCGTCCTGGGAGAGGCGGACAGAGAGACGACACTGCAGATGTTCAGGCTGGCTGGGCACAGCATGGGGGGCAGGCCTCCCGGGCCTTCTTCGGGCTGCTCGGGGCCCAGCGGGGTGCTTCCCCGAGACAGATCCACCACACAGAGGTCAGAAGGGGTGCTGTGGTACACGCGGCCACCCCCGCCACAGGCAGCGCAGAGCACGGGGCCTGGGAGGCAGTACTCCCGCAGCTCGGGCACCAGCTTCCCAGACTCATCCCAGCTGGCCTTGATGGCCAGCATCCGGCCATGGTGACCAAGGGCCACCAGGCAGTCAGAGTGCACATCCTCGTCAGGCAGAAAATTCTCTGCAGCTTCTGCAGCCTGTGGCTCTGTCTTCAAGGCCCCTATGAAGATGACAGGCTCCTCCAGGTGATGGAGGATCTTGACAAGGGCATTTGGGTCACCAGGGGCTGACCTGGAGGTGACCAGGGCCTTCAGGATCACACAGCAGAGCTGGCCATCAGGGAGACCACAGAGGACCACAGGTGACTGCAGGAGGGTGGCATCAGCTCCAAAGAGGAGCCCGAAGAGGGCGTCCTCCAGCGTGAAGCCCCCAGGGCCCCCAAGGAGGTCACGCGGCACCCTGGAGCCTGACGGTGACACACAGCATAGCACTGGAAGGAAGTGGGGGTCTGCAGGCTTTCCTGGGACCCCGGCTGGGGGGGCGTAGGTGGACAGCTCCACCTCACCGATCTGGCCTCCTGGCCGGGGGTCCTCCCCAGGACAGGGCTGCTCAAACAGCTGCATCTTCCACCGGGCGGGGCCCTGCACCAGGGTGACCAGCACACTGTCCAGCACGGTGAACGCGCACAGCGCAGCATCGGGAAGGATGCAGGCATCGGGGTCCACAGGGATCACAGGGGAAGGCTGGTCACCGTCCTCGCTGTCCCTGTCATCCTGGCTTGTAGACCTTTGAGAACAAGGGACGCATTGGTCAGGCCTGGGCAGGGTGGGATTCCCACGTTCTCTTCACCATAACCTGGCATGGAGCAGTCTGGCTCAGGGGTCCCCGCAGTGACCCTCAAGGCCCTCAGCAGTCCATCTGCCACATGGCCTCCCACCTTCCCCACGGAGGACACGCTTGACAGGAAGTACCAGACATTCAAAAGCAGCTTGAACGGACACCCCTCAGCACAGAACCGTCCGGCTGAGGTCCGGGTTGCAAAGTGCACAGGCTGCCCCTCCTCTACAGCCTGGGCCGCGGTCAGCAGCTGCCGGCTCTGCACTGAAGACAGGCCTGGCTGCCCCGGAGCTCGCTTCCTTCCGACCCAGATGGTTCCCACTGATCACTGGCTCGGGGTCACGGTGCCTTTGCTGTCTCCTCCCTCTAATAAACACCCAACCTCGGGGGCGTGTCTCACCAGACAGCACCGGGCCACCAGGGCCCAAAGGACAGGATCCCGCACCCCGAAGTAGGCTTAACCATGTGAACCCCACTTACTAAGGACTGTGAGCAAGATACTTGCAGCAAGAGTGCTGGGGGCAGGGGCTCCAGATATGGGCGGGGATGGCGGCCAAGGCTCAGAGCTGGTGGCAGCCCGGGTCCCCAAGAGCGAGGAGGTGCGGCTGCTCGCTCTGAAGCAGTCCGGGGGCAGCAGCAGCGTGCGGGAGGGAGGCCGCGGGCCCGCCCTCACCTGCTCCTGCCCGGGTGGTCCAGCGACAGGCAGTAAAGGCCCCTCCGGGCGCACAGCGCGTACAGCAACCTGCGCGGCGCCAGCAGCTCCAGGTGCCACACCTGGTCGGGGAACCGGAACGCCGCCTGCGGACCGGGGCGCGGGTCAGGCCGAGGCGACGCGAGGGCCTGCGATCTTCATTTTCACGCGAACCGCCGCCCCCGCCCGGCCCCTCCCGCCCCCGCGGGCCGGCGCTCACGGTCAGCAGCCCGCCCTCCTGGTCGTACACGTAGACGAGCTCGCTGCCGGTGGACAGGAAGACCTCCGCCTCGTGGTACAGCACGCGGGGCTTGCCCGCCGCCAGGCCCCCGAGGGGACAGCAGAAGCCCGCCAGGTAGCGGACCCGCGGCGCGGCGCCGGCCATCGTGAGCGCGGGCCGGTCAGCGTGAAGAGCCCCGGCCGCGCGGCGGCGGCTCCGCCTCGGAGCGCTTTACGGCAGCCCGCTGTGCGGCGCGACCTCCGCCGTAAAGCGGTCGGCGATGCCGGGGGCGGGCGGGAAAGGCGGCGCTGCGCTCCTCTGGCTTTTGCATAAACCCCTTGATTCTCTGGGCTCTCGGAGAGCCCCTGAGTCCTGCCGGAGCGCACTCCAGCCGGGGACGGGGTGGGGCAGCAACGGCTCTTGTCATCCTAGCGATGGATCTCTGCCCTGTGCTCCGTGAGCCGCCCCCCGGCGGCCCCCACGTTCAGGGCCCAGCGGCGTGAGCCTGCTTAGGTGGAAGTGCGTCCCTCCCTCCGTGGTTGAACACGTGGGGACGGGGAGTACACCACGGGTTGGGAGCAAAGGACAAGAAAATGACTGTGAGACAGGGCAAGACACCTCCACCCTCTCCCTCCGGGCAGCTCTCCACTTCCTCCAGGAGAGAAGTACTGACCAGAGGACGCCCGTGGAGGGGCCTGCGATGACACCTCCTCCACGCCCGGAAGAGAGCGGAAACCAGGCACACCACTGACAAGTAAATGACCAAGGAACCCCGCCCCCGGTCCGCCTCCCTCCGTTTAAGAAGCCAATCTGAAGACCGCTAAGGCCAGACACTCTTGAGGGAGAGTCTACGGGCAGGGCTGCAAAACAGGGCTTGGAAGTTGCGCAGACATCGTGGAGTCCGGGTGCACCTGCCGGAGCACAAAGCACCACGTGCAGACGTCCTGACCGCCCCCCCTTTGAGTTTGGGGTGGGGACTGACCCCAGGACAACGGGGATGTCTGATTCTGGGTGTTAGGATAGACAGACTCAGGTGCGGCACCTGGAGTCAGTTCCTCGATCCTCTCTGTCGCCAGGGCTGCTCTGAAGGTGTTTGGGCTGGAAATGCTGTCTTTGATGCTGGGGAGTGGGGAGAGGAGGGCCAGGGGCATCCCATTTGGCCTTCAGAGTCAGGAAGTGCAGATGCTGCATCGTTGTGAATTTCCCCACAGGGATCCTCCCCGGTCTTCTGACCGAATTTCCCCCACAGGGGAGCCTCTGCCGGTCTTCTGACTGCTGGTTTTAACCCTCTGAAGCCTCTTGAGTCGCTCGCTCGCTCACACACACCAACTCCCATCCAGTCCTCCCAGGCCGTCTCTTCCATATGGATGGAAACATGCCAAGACCGTCCTGGAGGAAATGATCACGATCACGTGGAGGAGGAAAGAACGTGGGAGGAGGCCCGGTAAACCAGCAGCCTCACCCGGCGGTTTACTCCGCTGCCCACTCCATTCTGCTCCGGGGGCTGGCAGGCTCTTGGCCCCACGCCAAGCCCAGCTCCTATCTGCAACAAGATTTATGATCAATGGTCATGTGGGGGACCTTAAGCATGGATCCCAGGGGAAAGGGGGTGAGTTAGACACCAGCAAAGGGCTCAAGGCTGGCTCTCCATCAGCTGCTGGGCTGTGCTGTGCCCCACCTATACTTGGCGAAGGGTGATGAGGGCGAGGCAACCTCTCTGCTGTGGGTGTGGAAGATGCACACACTCCTAGCGGAAGCCTTCGACACAGCAGAGCACACCGCTGGACACTGTTTCTATGCCCAACCTGTAGGTGGTATCATCTCCCTAAGCACAAATTATATGAAGGAGTCAATTTAGAAGGTCAGACTGAGAAGAGAGAAACCATGAAGCTTCAGGCTGTGCTGAGGGTGAGGAGGGCTGGGCTTTGAGGGACCTCTCCTCAGAGCAGCACAGCCCAATAAGAACACAGCAGGAGGTGGAGCAGGGACCCAGGAACCTGAGTTCGCCCTTTTTTTTTTTTTTTGCAGTGGTGCAATCTCGGCTCACTGCAGCCTCAACACCCCAGGCTCAAGCCAACCTCCTGCCTCAGCCTCCCGATTAGCTGGGACTATAGGTGCACACCACCACGCCAGGCTTTTTGTATTGTTTAATAGAAACGGGGTTTCGCCATGTTGGCCAGGCTGGTCTCCAACCCTGGGCTTTTCTGTTTCTAAGCAGTACGATTTGCTTGATTTTGTGGGGGATTGGCATCCAGAACCATTTTTAAATTTTTTGAGACAGAGTCTCACTCTGTTGTCCAGGTTGGAGAGCAGTGGCATAATCTTGGCTCGCTGCAACCTCTGCCTCCTGGGTTCAAGCAATTCTCCTACCTTGGCCTCCCAAGTAGCTGGGATTACAGGCGCACACACATCACCACACTAATATTTTGTATTTTTAGTGGAGATGGGGTTTCACCATGTTGACCAGGCTGGTCTTGAATTCCCGACCTCAAGTGATCTGCCAGCCTTGGCCTCCCAAAAGTGGTGGAATTATAGGCATGAGCCGCTGCACCCAGCATTTTTTTTTTTTCTTTTTTTTGAGACAGTCTGGCTCTGTTGCCCAGGCTGGAGTGTGCGGTGGCACAATCTCGGCTCACTGCAACCTCTGCCCCCCAGGGTTCAAGTGATCCTCCAGCCTAGGCCTCCCGAGTAGCTGGGATTACAGGTGTGCACCACCACGTCCAGTTTTTGTACTTTTAGTAGAGACAGGGTTTCACCATCTTGGCCAGAACTCCTGATCTCAGGTGATCCACCCGCCTCGGCCTCCCAGAGTGCTGGGATTACAGGTGTGAGCCACTGTGCCCAGCATTTATCTTGACATAGAACCAGAGGGGATGAAAGCACCAAGGATTTTCACTGGCTCTCACACAGCCTGCCATGACCAGGTATTGGCTCCCTGCACGGCCCAGGCTGCTGTTGCACTTGTGCTTTCTCTGATGCAGCCTCCCCGAGCCTCCCCACCTCAGCATTTTTTTTTCAGACAAGGTCTCACCCTGTGGCCCAGGCTAGAGCTGCGATCACAGCTCGCTGCAGCCTCGACCTCCTGGGCCCAAGTGATCCCAGGAGCTGTGGGGAATCGAGTGAACTGCACTGTGTTGAAGGTGCAGGATTGGAGGCCGGATGCTGAGGGCCCATCCTCTCGCTGCTGGAGTGCAGAAGCCAGGACCCCTTGGTAACTGCCCTGTGGCCTGCTTCACCCCAAGACCCCCCTTCAGAAAATAGGGTTTTTCTTTTTTAGTAACCGCTCAAGTCAGCAATGAGTCACTGGCCAAAGGACAAAGTGGTGCTGAACGGTGGCTGCCAGGGCTCCTACCTGAGGCTCAGAGGGCACTTGTTCTAGACGCTTTCTATTGTCACAGGAAAGACAGCTCAAGCAGCACAGGCGTGTCACCCCCAGGCCTCGCTCCTTGCTGCACTTGTGCAGCCTGGGCTTCCTGGGCTTTGTCCTTCACCTGCTGTTTGGTCACATGTACCTGTCCACAAAGCAGTGACTCGGGAGCAGCTGCGGGGCTGACAGGTGGGGCAGATGCAGAAGAGGCACCCAAGGGCGGCCGGGCCGTCAAACACTGACGCACTCTCCTCCTCCTCCTGGATGTTAACACTTTAAGAAACTTATCGAGGAGTCAAGTTTGGGAGGGACTGGCTGGGGAAGTAGAATCCCCACCTTTAAATGGTCCATGCACATACACACGCGTAAGACGGTGATATCTTAGGGACAAGTTATCAAATCCCCACACAGTGAGCAGATGCCAGACAACAGTTGAGTGCGCCGGAAGGACACACTAAGACCAGGCTGTTGCTTCAGGCGCTTTTATTAGGTTCCACTGCAGGGCTGGGGTCAATGTAATGCAAATCCAAGCCCAGTGATGCACACCTGTGAGCCGAAACAGAGCCGAAGCAGGAGCACCTGTGCCCCACGAGCAGCCTGGTTGGAAGAGACCAGGTCCAGGCCCCACCTCCTCTCTGGGCCAGGAGACTGGCAGCCGCTGTGTTCACCTGGGCAGGTGTGCACCCAGTCACCCCCACTGGGTTATGGTGCTGGTAGCATGAGAGGGTGTGTCCACACCAAGGGCAGGTGAAGATGCGAGGTGGGGCTGAGACCTCCCTCCCACAACGGGAGGTGGCTGAGCCTCCCAGGGCCTGAACTCTTATAGCAGGGCTCACCCCCAAGCCTGTATGCTTAGCTCTGACTCTCTTTGGACAATAAAATAAAGTGCATTACTGAACAAAGAGTAACTCAAAACCAGAAGCAGACAAATCGCCAATGTTTTTTCTTTAGCTGAAAGACAAAAGAAAACATGAATGATGTGAATGCCGGAATTTCAGAGTGAGGGAAATGCTGGTGGAGGACAATGGAAACTAGAATAGCATGGCAGATAAGGATGAGCAAGTGGGAGAGGAGGAACTGGCAACGCGGCTGTCTCTAGAAGTCCGTGTTGTCCAGCCCCTGCCCAGTGGTGGGGAAGGCCTTGGACTCACAGGGAAGCAATGCAGGAAGCCTTGGCCACCTAGGCTCACAGCTGATCTCAGGACCAGAGACAGCAGAGGACAAAACTTCAGCGTGACAGCTGCTAGGAGGGAGAGCAGACAGCCCACAGTGGCCAAGCTGGGAGTTGCACCCGCAGCAGTCCGCTTCAACCAGGCTCCTCTCCACCCCTCCAGACCCTCCACGACAGCTCTGCCATAACCAGACCCAACCCAACTGGCCCCTGGTCCCAAGAGCAGATGAGCTGCTTGGGCTTTCCACTTGGTGTCCCATGCCAGGCAGACCTGGAGGTGCCAGCCACAGTCCCGACCACTTCAGAAGCCAACAGGCAAGTGTTCTCTGTTCATAGTGCCAAGAATGTGGGAGGGTCACATGGGCTTACCCCCCAAGATGGACACAGAAGTCCCTAAGCAGTCTGTAGCTGGGCCAGCCTCTCCCGTGGGTGCAGAGCAACCCAAATGTGGCCATCATTAAGGCAAAGAAGCATCGAGATGCCCACCACTCCCCAGGTAAGAGCCATGCCCCGGCCTGGCCACAGATGAACGCAGAGCCCACAGAGCGCACACACACAGGACCCCACCAGGTGCTGTTCCAGATCGCCCAGGCTCCCTCCATTGGTACACTATCAATTGTGCAATGCCCCAGAGAGGTCCCAGATGGCCCTCACAAGAGGCACAGCCCCTAACACCCTCAGCCAGGCAGTGCAGTGGGATGAAGCAGCGTATTGGGGAGGGCCAGAGCATCAACACCGGCGACCCAGCTCTCCCACCCAGGCCATCGCAGGGCAGCCTCAGGGCAGGCGCCACCACTGCTCCTGCTCAGCCCGCAGTATCTGCAGCTGCTGCAGCTGTGTGGCTTGGTAGAAAAGTCTCAGGCACTGAGGTTTACTTCAAGGGAGAACTGACTGGTACCCCCGTCCACACTCATCACCCTGGACACAACCTCGGGGGCTTCACTAAAGGAGGGAAGGATGTGGAAACTAGTCTCTCTCACTCCCCTTTTGTGCAGTTTTTATCTTAAAAAAAAAATAAATAAAAGTCTTCTGGGCAGGAATTACTGGTAACTGTTATTATAACCAATGCAGACTTTAAAATCCCACCTGGACGTCGGGTGAGAGGAGGAGGGCAGGCAGCAAACCGACCTGCAGACCTGCAGAGGGGAGCTGTGTCCAGGGCCACAGCATCCCCCCCAAACAGCTCCCGGCAGAGGAAAGTGGCCCTCACAGGCAGGGTGTCTGCCACCAAGCAGTCAGACCAGGGGCAACCAAGAGCTCCCAGCCAGAAAAACGCGGGGGGCGGGGAGGCCAAACAAAAAGCATTGAAAGGAAGGAAAAGGCTGGGTGGTGGCAGCATCAGCCCCTCCCTATGCTCCCCAATTGCAGGTGCCGTATAGAGGTGAGAGGTCCTTCCAACACAGTGGGGGGCTTGTCAACAGGATTAGGCATGAGGGGCCGCTCTGCGTTTCCAGTCTGGGACTGCACTCAGTGTGCAGAATACCAGCCGTGGCACCCGCTCTCCAAGGAGGAACGTGCTGAGAAGCTTCAGTGGGTCAGGGAGCCCAGGACAGCCAGCCCCTTGTCCCTCCAGGGCTGCCCACTGTGGGGCAGTTATAGGGAACACACTGAGCAACGCTTCTGGCTTCAGGAAGGGCTGGGCTGGGCCTGGTCCTAGCCAGCAGAGGGCAGGCACCCTAGGTCCTGGGGAGGCTGCACATCTCGCAGTGGCCCGTGCCTGGCTGGTTCATGAACGTGCAGTGCTGACAGGCCCACATGGCCGCAGTGGCCGTGTGTGTGGAGCCCCCGACGGCGCCGTACTCGTGGAGACCTGGGAGCTGCACGCCAACTGTGCCTGCAGGGTGGGAGAGAAATGAGCACTCATCATTTCTGGCCCACCAGAGACCTCCAGAGTGTGGGCACAGGGACAGGGGCAGGCAGCTGAGAGCTCCCCACCCTCCACCTCCCACCCCGTGCTGGTCCTGCCCACGCAGCACTCCCACCACAGACACGTTTTGAAGTCCTTAATGCCCTTGGCTGTGACAGACTCAGAAAAATGCCTCCTGCACCACGGGGATTAACAGGGAGCCTGTGCTTGCTGGTTCCTTTTTGTTGCAGAGGGTGCCTCTCCTTGTGAATAACATAATTCCCTGGGAGATGTGCATTTGGGTTATTTCCAGCTTTTTTTTTTTTTTTTCCTGAGATAGGCTGTTACTCTGTCACTCAGGCTGGAGTGCAGTGGCGCAATCTCGGCTCACTGCAAACTCTGCCTCCCAGGTTTAAACAGTTCTCCTGCCTCCGCCTCCCAAGTAGCTGGGACCACAGGCGCAGACCACAATGCCTGGCTAATTTTATCTATTTTTTGGTCGAGCTAGGGTTTCATCATTTTGGCCAAGCTAGTCTCAAACTCCTGACCTCAGGTAAGCCGCCCGCCCTGGCCTCCCAAAGTGCTAGGATTACCGGTGTGAGCCACTGTGCCCAGCCTCCAGTTTTGAGCTAATATGAACAAAGTTGCCAGGATCATTCTTATACAATTTCTTTGTGGATCTGTGTTTTTATTTCTCTTGGATAAAAACAAAGAGTGAGGCTGGGTGCAGCGGCTCACGCCTGTAATCCCAGCACTTTGGGAGGCTGAGGTGGGCAGATCACTTGAAGTCAGGAGTTTGAGACCAGCCTGGCCAACATGGCGAAACCCAGTCTCTACTAAAAATACAAGAATTAGCCAGGCGTGGTGGTGCGCGCCTGCCGTCCCGGCAACTCAGGAGTCTGAGGCAGGAGAATCCCATGAATCCGGGAGGGGAAGGTTGCAGTGAGCCGAGACCCTGCCACTTCACTCCAGCCTGGGCAACACAGCAAGACTCCATCTCAAAAACAAAAAACAGGCCAGGTGCAGTGGCTCACGTCTATAATCCCAGCACTCTGGGAGGCTGAGATGGGCAGATCTCGAGGTCAAGAGATGGAGACCATCCTGGCTAACATGGTGAAACTCCGTCTCTACTAAAAATGCAAAAATTAGCTGGGGGTGGTGGCACACGCCTGTAGTCCCAGCTACTCGGGAGGCTGAGGCAGGAGAATGGCGTGAACCCGGGAAGTGGAGGTTGCAGTGAGCCGAGATCGCGCCATTGCACTCCAGCCTGGGCAACAAAACAAGACTTGATCTCAAAACAAACAAACAAAAACCCACCTAGGAATGAGTCTGCCGGCCCACAGGGTAATAAATTGTGTGCTGAACTTTCTAAGACCCTGAGACACAGTTCTTGTGATGGCGGCACGGTTTTGCCTCCCACTTGTGAGGTGCGAGGGTTCCAGCGGCTTCACATCTTCACTCACACTTGACATGGTTGGTTTTTTTCATTTCAGCCACACTGATGGATGTGTAATGGTTTATCATGTTTTAATTTGCATTTCCCTGATGACTAATCATAGTGACTGTTCCTGCATCTCCTTTTTTTCGTTGTTGTTGCCCAGGCTGGAGTGCAATGGCACAATCTTGGCTCACTGCAACCTCTGCCTCCTGGTTCAAGCGATTCTCCTGCCTCAGCCTCCCAAGTAGCTGGGATTACAAGCACGTGCCACCACAACTGGCTAATTTTTGTATTTTTAGTAGAGATGGGGTTTCACCATGTTGGCCTGGCTGGTCTCGAACTCCTGACTTCAAGTGATCCACCAAGTGCAGGGATTACAGGTGTGTGCCACTGCGCCCGGCCTGCATTTCCTATTGTGAAACATTTCACCCTCTGCCCAGCTTCTTATGCTCTTTCTGTTTGGTTATCAACAGGCAGAATTCTTTTGCTCTTTCTGCTTGATTATCAACAAGCAGAGTTCTTTTTAAGTTTCAGATGGAAGTCATGTTGTGTGTATGTATCGCTAATACTGCGTCCCCCATCGGTGCCTTTTCATGTTTCTAACAGTGCCCTCGGATGAGCACAAGTGTTTTGTTTACGTAACATACATTTATCAATTTACCTTTTTTATGCCAGTGTTTTTCTGTGTTCTACCCCAAGGTCCTGCATCCTGCCGACAAGAATCTTTGTGTACTCCAAGGCCCTGAAGAGATTCAACTGAATAATAACTGTTTTCTAGTTTTTATTTTTTTAAGACAGGGTATCGCTCTGTCATTCAGGCTGGAGTGGTACAATCATGGCTCACTGTGACCTCGACCTCCCGGACTCATGGGATCCTCCCATTTCAGCCTCCCCAGAAGCTGGGATTACAGGCGTGGACCACTCACCATACCCAGCTAATTCTTTTGTTTATATATATTTTGTACAGACGGGGCTTCCGTGTTGTGTAGGCTGCTCTCGAACTTCCGGGCTCCAGTGTCCTCCAGCTTTGGCCTCCCAGAGTGTTAGGATGACAGTTGAGACATCGTGCCCAGCCTGCTTCATAGTTTTACCTTTTACCATTAGGCCTATGACCCATCCTGAGCTGATCTTTGTGTCTGATGTATACATGTCTGTAATCCCAGCACTTTGGGAGGCCGAGGCGGGTGGATCACCTGAGGTCAGGAGTTCGTGACCAGTCTGACCAACATGGTGAAACCCCATCTCTACTGAAAATATAAAAATTAGCCAGGCATGGTGGCGCACACCTGTAGTCCCAGCTACTTGGGAAGCTGAGGCAGGAGTATCACTTGAACCCAGGCGGTGGAGGTTATAGTAAGCCGAGATCACGCCATTGCACTGCAGCCTGGCTGACAGGGTAAGATTCCATCTCAAAACAAAACAAAATCACCCATGAGGGCCGGGTGTGGTGGCTCATGCCTATAATCCCAGCACTTTGGGAGGCCAAGGTGGGCGCATCACTTGAGGTCAAGAGTTCGAGACCAGCCTGGCCAACATGGAGAAACCGTCTCCACTAAAACTAAAAAAATTAGCTGGGTGTGGTGGTGGCCACCTGTAATTCCACCTACTTACGAGGCTGAGGCAGGAGAATCGCTTGAACCCGGGAGGTAGAGGCTGCAGTGAGCTGAGATCACGCTACTGCACTCCAGTCTGGGCGACAGAATGAGACTGTCTCAAAACAAACAAAAAACCCATGAAAAAATGCCTAACATCACTAATCATCAGAGATGCAAATTAAAACCACAGTGAGATACTATCTTACACCAGTCAGAACTGCCTATTATAAAAGAGTTGGCTGGACATGGCGGCTTACCCCTGCAATCTCAGCACTGAGGCGGGAGAATCGCTTGAGCCCAAGAGTTCAAGACCAGCCTGGGCAATATAGTGAGACCTCATATCTACAACAAATTTAAAAAATCAGCCAGGCATGGTGGCACATGCTTGTAGTCCCAGCTGCTCAGAAGGCTGAGGCGGGAGGATTGTTTGAGCCTGGGGAGGTCAAGGTGAGACTGACCTCAAGTGCCACTGCACTCCAGCCTGGGCGACAGAGTGAGACTCCATCTCAAAAAAAAAAAAAAGATGGGGTCTTGCCATGTTGCCCAGGCTGGTCTCAAACTCCTAGGCTCAAGTGATCTTCCTGCCTTGGCTCCCAAAGTGCTGAGATTACAGGTGTGAGCCACCGCACCTGACCTTTTTTTTTTGAGAGAGGGTCTCACTCTGTCACCCAAGCTGAAGTGCAGTGGCACTTGAGGTCAGTCTCACTATCTTAGTTCACTGCAACCTACGCTTCCCGGGTTCAAGCGATTCTCCTACCTCAGCCTCCCGAATGGCTGGGATTACAGGTGCTCGCCACCATGCCCAGCTGATTTTTGTATTTTTAGTAAGAGATGGGGTTTCACCATGTTGGCCAGGATGGTCTCAATCCCTTGACCTCCTGATCCACCTGCCTCAGCCTCCCAAAGTGTTGGGATTACAGGTGTGAGCCACCACGCCCAGCCAACCCCATCTCTTAAAAAAAAGAAAAAAATAAAAATAAAAATAAAAACATGTAATCCCAGCACTTTGGGAGGCCGAGACGGGTGGATCACCTGAGGTCAGGAGTTCGTGACCAGTCTGACCAACATGGTGAAACCCCGTCTCTACTAAAAATACAAAAATTAGACGGGCGTGGTTGCGGGCACCTGTAATCCCAGCTACTCGGGAGGCTGAGGCAGGAGAATGGCGTAAACCGGGGAGGTGGAGCTTGCAGTGAGCTGAGATCCGGCCACTGCACTCCAGCCTGGGCGACAGAGCAAGACTCCGTCTCAAAAAAACACAAAAACAAAAACAAAACAAAAAAAAAACACCATTAGTTGGGTGTAGTGGCTTATGCTAATAGTCCTAGCTACTCAGAAAGCTGAAGCAGGAGGATCGTTTGAGCCCAGAAATTGAAGGCTGCAGTGAGCGATGATCACTCCACTGCACTCCAGCCTGGGCAACAGAGTGAAATCCTGTCTCTAAAAGGGAAACAAAAAAGAAAAAAAGAAGACTCTGGTGTCATTGTTAGAATCGCATAAAAGGGTTGGGTGCAGTGGCTCCCAGGTATAATCTCAGGACTTTGGGAGGCCGAGGTGTAAGGAATGCTTGAGGCCAGAAAGTTTGAGACCAGTCCGGGCAACACAGTGAGCCCTCATTGATACAAAAAAATTAAAAACTTTTGCAGCCATAAAAAGGAATGAAATCATGTCCTTTGCAGCAATTGGATGCAGTTGAAGGCCATTATCTGAAGCAAATTAATGCAGGAACAGCAAACCAAATACCATGTTTTCATTTATAAGTGGGAGCTAAATGTGGGTACTCATGTGCATAATGATGGCAGTGCCAGGTGTGGTGGTGCACATCTGTAATCCCAGCTACTCGGGAGGCTGAGGGAGGGGAATTGCTTCAAGCCAGGAGGCAGAGGTTGCAGTGAGCCAAGATTGCGCCACTGCACTCCAGCCTGGGAGACAGAGTGAGGCTCCATCTCAAAAACAAGAAAAAAAAAAGGCTGAAAAACTATTAGGTACTATGTTTAGTACCTGGGTGATGGGATCAATCATACCCAAACCTCAGCATCAGGTAATATACCCAGGTGACGAACCTGCACATGTATCCTGTGAATCTAAAATAAAAGTTAAAATTATTTTTAAGAAACAAACAAAAAACAACAACAAAATCCCAAGAATTAGCTGGGGGTGGTGTTGTGAGCCTGTGGTCCCAGTTACTCAGAAGGCTGAAGCAGAAAGATCACTTGAGCCTGGAGTCTGAGGCTGCAGTGAGCTATGATTGTGCCACTGCACTCCAGCCTGAGCAACAGAGTGAGACTCTGTCTCTACAAAAATAAAAATAATAAAGAATTGTATGAAAAGAAAACCTCGGCTGGGCGTGGTGGCTCACGCCTGTAATCCCAGCAGCACTTTGGGAGGCAGAGGTGGGCGGATCACAAGGTCAGGAGTTTGAGACCAGCCTGGCCAACATGGTGGAACCCTGTCTCTACTAAGAATACAAAAATTAGCTTGGCGTGGTGCCGCCTGTAGTCCCAGCTACTCGGGAGGCTGAGGCAGGAGAATCGCTTAAACCCAGAAGGTGGAGGTTGCAGTGAGGCGAGATCATGCCACTGCACTCCAGCCTGGGCAACAAGAGCCAAACTCTGTCTCAAAAAAAAAAAGAGAAAATGGTATAAAGGTGTTTGATATGTTATTTTGAAGACTCTGTTAATAGAGGGATTCTAGTGTTTGTCCAAGGCTGTAGCAGCTGTTGGGCACTTTGGTATTCTCAGCTTGACAGACTCAGGACAGGCACTGGGGCTGCACAGGGCACCACGGTGCGTGAGGAGGTGCGTGAGGAGTCCCTGCAGCAATGCTGACACAAGGTTCTCGCGGGTGGGGAGTTGTTCAGGACTTGGTGACTGAGGGTCCTGAAGACACGCAATGCCTGCAGTTCATTCTGTAGTGTCCAGGAAGAACATGCATGCTGTAGGCTTCTCCTCCTTACAGCTTTAAGCACTAAAGGGAAATTCTCAAGGAGACCAAAAGGTCCTGCGCTTCCACAGAGTTTCTGATTCTCTTAAGACAATGATGCTGAAAGTGCTCCTCAGATGCCTGGAGATTAGTACCTCTGATGTATAGATTGATAAAATTTACAGGGCTGTGCACCTAAGATGCATGGCCTGGACAACATATATGTTACATCACTGGAAACTGCCACGTGCCTGGCAGGGAGGTTGAGTCTCTAGTCTCATTGCCCACAGCAGCTGCCAGGATGCAGCTGGGGTACAGAATCCAGGGCACGACAGGCAGTGGGGAGCTGTGCAGAGTGGACTGCTCTCCAGCCGCAGCCACGGGGTACCAGGGTAGGGGGTGGGGGTACTCACTGCACAGCTGCTCGATGGTGGCCCACTGCTCAGACCTCTTCCACGTCTGGGCGAGCTCCTCATTTCTGGTCCGCACAGCCTCCAGCAGCAAGCTGATGCTGTCCTGCAAGAAGCCAAAAGGAAGGTTCCAGTTTGCTGTGCAGCTTCCTGCTGGGACAGGTTTCTTTTTCCCCAACACTAAGACACATTTCCGAGGACATTTTAAAAATCTTGCAGGATATCACTATAAAATGTAAACTGTAGGCCGGGCGCGGTGGCTCAAGCCTGTAATCCCAGCACTTTGGGAGGCCGAGATGGGCAGATCACGAGGTCAGGAGATCGAGACCATCCTGGCTAACACGGTGAAACCCCGTCTCTACAAAAAATACAAGAAAATTAGCCGGGCAAGGTGGCGGGCGCCTGTAGTCCCAGCTACTCGGGAGGCTGAGGCAGGAGAATGGCGTGAACCCGGCGGGGCGGAGCTTGCAGTGAGCCAAGATCGCGCCACTGCACTCCAGCCTGGGGCACAGAGCAAGACTCCGTCTCAAAAAAAAAAAAAAAAAAAAAAGTAAACTGCCACAACTTAAGTGCTAAATTGAACTAGAATTTAAATTCCTCCCAAATAGGCCCAAGCAGGCATCTGTGCCTCTGCCGTGCACTGACAGTGCTCAACAGCCCAGACGATAGGAGCTCATGCCTCTCGTCCTGGAGGCTGGGATGGAGGGCGGAACCCTGGCTGTGAGACGTGTCCTCCTCCCTTACATTTCATCCCCCTGCCTCTTTCTCTTCTCCATCATGTCTGGAAAAAGGCACTCTCTATCCTAGCCTTCCGGGTCAAAGTGCAGGGGATTAATGCATTAAGGATGGGCACGGTGGCTCACGCCTGTAATCCCAACGCTGGGAGGCGGAGGCAGACGGATCACGAGGTCAGGAGTTTGAGACCATCCTGGCCAACACGGTGAAACCCCGTCTCTACTAAAAATACAAAAATTAGACGGGCGTGGTTGCGGGCACCTGTAATCCCAGCTACTCGGGAGGCTGAGGCAGGAGAATCACTTGAACCCGGAAGGCAGAGGTTGCAGTGAGCCAAGATTGTGCCAATGCACTCCGGTCTGGGCAACAAAGCAAGACTCCGTCTTAAAAAAAAAAAAAAAATCATATATGAGAAACGGATAAAGCCTTCAGGAGCTCTCAGTACCTCCAGAGAATGTCTTCCAACAGATGACTGCAAAAATAGTGCAGTATACTAGCAAGGTGGCTCTGGTGCAGAGGAGCCTCACCTTTCACCACCTGTCCAGACAGATGGGCAGCAGCTGAACCTGGGAGCAGGAGGTGCAGCTCCCTGGGCTGACTAAGGAAGGCACAGGCAGGCAAGAGGCACACGGTGCCTGATGTCAAATACCCGAGTGAGTGGTTTTGAGACAAAATACAGACACAAAATAGACTAGCAGGATACAAGAACAGCTATAGGCTTCCTGACAGAGAAAGGCCGGGGGAGGAGGAGCCTCTCCATTCTGTCTCCTTCAGGGAAAGGTCCTGAGTCAGTGGCGGAGCAGCTCAGAAAGAATTTGCTCCTTTCTCTTTGGCATTTCCTGTCGGCTTGAACGGTGAAGAAAAAGCCAAAGTTGGACCCCCACACACGGCACATGCAAGAACCTCCTGGGAGCTGCTGCCCACTGCCCTCCGACTACCCAGAGCAGCCGCTTCTGCAAAGCACTCGCCCTCTTCTCCCCCAACGGTGCCTCTTAAAAATGCCAACTGTGCAGCTGTGAGCTTGGGGTCTGGAAGCTGGCCAAGCCTTCTGGGCCAAGGCAATAAAACCAGAGTTGATTTGGGAGGAGGGGAGATAAGAGTAAAAAGCAGAGGCTGTGACTCTGAAACTGTTAGAACAGGAATTTTTTAAACTGTCTAACTCTAATGCTGGAGGCAGAGCTAAATCACCTCTGCCTGCCATCCAATTGTAACAGATGAAACCGTACTTCCTCACAGAGGTGCAGACACTCAATGAAAACGCTAAAGGTGAAAAAATTCATCTTTCTATCAACAAGCTTCTTGTGAAAAGCTGCTGTCTACACTCTGCCCACAGGACAAATGAGGGGGACAACATGTGACCCCAAGCTTTGACCCAGTTTCCCAGTCACGCTCTGGTCTGTGAGGAAAGAAAGACACAGGCATCTCCTGGCGGGCAAAGCCCACTTGCTCAGGCAGACACCACACTTGGGCACGCACCTGCAGAGGCATAACTTCATTGGTGACCAGGAACAGCAGGAGGTGGAAATCTGAGATGGTATCCAAGAACACGGATGAGGTATTCTGGGACAAATAGGTGGCCAAGCTATGGAAGTCCTAGAGGGACAGGAATAAACATGAATGTTCCATACAGTTCCCCAGTGCCAGACCCCGAAACAGAGCCGTTTCCTACTAAGATGCAACTCAATACACTGAATGCTGAGAGGCACCTCTCCCTCTGCCTCTGCAACCACAAACAGGGTCCAAGAAAGAGGAGCAGGCAGCTGCAAAGCAAGCTCTTGCCCTCTTCTCCCAAGAAGATGCTCTCAGCACACCTGACTACCCAGATGTGCAAGAAGACACACTTCTAAAGCTGACTCAGACTGGCCAGGTACGGAGGCTAACGCTGTAATTCCAGCACTTTGGGAGGCAGAGGCAGGCAGGTGGTCAGGAGTTCAAGACCAGCCTGGCCAACACGGTGAAACCCCGCCTCTACTAAAAATATTTAGCCAGGCTTGGTGGTGTGTGCCTATAATCCCAGCTACTTGGGAGGCTGAAGCAGAAGAATCGCTTGAACCCGGGAGGTGGAGGTTGTAGTGATCCAAGATCGCACCACTGCACTCTAGCCTGGGTGATAGAGTGAGACTCTGTCTCAAAAAGAAGAAGAAGAATTAAAAAAGGTGACTCAGACAGAGACACAGTCAAACAGATGGCAATGCACCCTGGCCCCCAGGTGAAGAGTGGGCTGTGGGAGGGGCCTGGGGCCCCCTGCAGGGCAGGGAGATGCGTCTGGCTTTTCCTGTCGAACTGTATTCTCCATATAGGGTGGCAAGAGGGGGGAATGTGCAGGGCAGCCGTGATGCAGCACAGACACCTTCAGCAGAATCACACACAGAGCTTCAAGAGTGCACCCTAATAATTGGCTTTGCGCCTCTACGAGCACCCCAAGTTCCCTGGGCGGATGGGCACTGAGGGGACCAAAGCACAGAAGCTTTGTCAGCCACTGAAGAAAACCTCATTATAGACATTCTTTGAACACCTTCTGAAATGTCTGTTAGCAAGTTATGATTTAAGAACAATCGTGTGTACGTAGCCTGTCTACACAGTATGCAGAAGGCATGACAGCAAATCGGACCTGGCCTGATCTGCCGGTGAGAGCAGAGGCCAACACGTGAGCCACGCTAAACAGCAGATCAACACTACACATGGGAAAGCCGAGGCCAGGACGAGGGGCGACACAGCCCCAAGGTGCCTGAGCAGGGCAGCAGGTGACCAGGCAAGGGCCAGGCCAAACCAACAGTGACGAGGCTGCTGGCAGAAGACACAAAGTGACACATTTGGGAAAATTACGAGGTCCACTGAGGATGGGACCAGTCTGAGGACGTCAGGGGCTTAGCCTTTGTGGCTGTCCATCACCCAGCCACAGGAAGGGCGTCCACCTGACCAACAGTGCCCCACAGCAGGCCCCAGCTGACCTGTCACGAGAATGCATCGGGAGCGTTTGAAAGCTTGATGTGTTCTGGAAAAACAATACTGACACTAGATAAGCAATCAGCAGTTACCTTAAATTATGTTTCTAAAGACAAAGAGCTCACCTGTGTCTCACCCAATACATCCCGGTTTTCAATAGGAAATGGATTTTGCGAAATAGAAAAAGTGTAAACTGGATCCTTGGGGAAAGTTGTTGTGATCTAATGAAGAAAAACATAAACCCATGATAAATGAGGCTGAAAGTGGTGTGGCCAACTCCCAGCCAGCCCAAAGCATCTCCCAGAGCCCGAGTTAACGACTCCCAGCAATTCTGAGAGAGTTCTACAAGCTCTCCGTCGAAGGGAACCGTTATCTATTAGTGTCATCTCTAAACAAACACTTTGAAACTCTGCCATCTCGGAGGCAAACTACACCATATCCGGGCAGCCTCTGGCCTGTGTACTGGCCTCGACATCCTACAAAAAGGGCACTGGGACTCCCCCCGCGGCACAGCTTCCCTTCACGCAGGTTCTCTCCCTCTGCTATGGAGGAACTAAAGGCAGGTTTGACCCCTTGTCCAGGTGACAAGAAGGGAATGGAAGGGGCCAGGAGGCTGTTAGGAGCTGACTTTGCTGAAGATAAATTCATGTCCTTGGATTTGGAGGGCACATGAGGAAATCAGCCAGCTTTCAAGAAACAAAGCACTCTCCAGCAGCTTGCTAAGCCCCTTCTGAATGCTGGGGGCCACTCCATGGAGCTGTGGGCTTTTCCAGGCAGGGGTGAATATAAGGCCCTTGAGGAACACAGGGTTCAGCTCTTCTCTCTCCCTCACAGCTGATACCCAAAGGCCAGCTAAGTACTTCAGGGGCTCAGACAGGCCTTAATGACAACAGAGGGCATTTTGCACCTAACATATAATCAATAGAAGCTACACGGACAGTGGCTAAATGTGCAAGAATCAATAGAAATACAACTTTCATTCTTCGTGACAGACACCCCTCCCCAAAGAAGCACCCGAGCTGAGTTGATGCTGCTTTTCTCTGCAACAGAACAGCAGCAGCCGAGGTCACACCTCTTCCAGATTTAGGGGAACTATTCTGGTTCCTTTGGGACTATTTCTAAAGAATGAGTGTGGTTCTGGTCTGTTTTCTGCATCAGCAAAGGCAGTGAGTTGTTGTTGAGCTGGCTGGCCCAGGATTTGCTGTGCCAGCACGAGCCGCTCTGGAAGGACAGCTGAGCCACCGGCAGCATCTCTGGCCTGAGCTGGCCCTTCATGGGCAAGCGGTGGGGCGGGGCATGAAGACTCGGGCCGCAGTGCCACATGTCGGCTACATGGCCTCGTCAGTTAGGGATCCTGGGCCTCACTTTACTCTTCCTCGAGATGAAGACGATCAGAGTACTCGCCTCCTGGGTGCCCAGCACGGGGCTGGTACACATAGTGTTGGTACACACAGTGCCGGGTACCAGGTGAAGACAGGGGAGGTGCTGACCTCCTGCAGAGACAAAAGCCTGGCCTGCTCAGGCGTCTCCTTTGGGAAGGCCTAGAAATGGGGAGGGCGGCACCCCCAGAACACGTGCTAGTGAGCGAGCTAGTGGGACCACCGGGGTCTTGCTGGCCTTGTAACTGGCCCTTGGAGGGTAACAGAACCGAAGTCCACACAGCCCATCCCAGATGTCCCAGGCAGGGCATCAGTTCCCATCTTAAACACTGAAGCCATTTCCCTACCCTACCCATCGTCTATCAGCCAGATGATGCCCCCAGAACCCACAAAGAAGCCCCAGGAACACTGGCTGATGCCTTTTCCTGCCTGCCCAGCCATCCCATCCCAAGGTTTAAGAACCCTGACCCAGGCCAGCGCCTGTGACCCGGGGCTGGGCATGGAGCTTGACACACCTCTCTGGGCACCTGCTCTCAAGGACTCCTCATGCCTCACTTCCACAGGGTCAAGGAGTTTGGGCATCACAGAGCAAAATGCTCTCCCAAAAACAAGAACTTCTGAAAAACTGCACTAAGGCAAAAACTTAACTTCCTTTATAAAAGAAGAGGAAAGGGGTGGGGAGGCCGCTCGGGGTAGAAGACCTGAGAAAGCTGGTTTTAAATCATGCCGGCTCCTCCTGGGTGTATGCTCCATCAATCTGTTTTCATCTTAATTACACCCCAGGTAGTCTAAAAACCAGATGCCTCCACGGCCTACGTAATAAATATGTTCTCGGGAGCTGTCAGTTGGAATGGTGCATCGATGGGCTTGGCTCGTGGGGACCTGCTGCTCCGAATGCAATGATATTTTACTGCCTGAATCACATGCCCATTCGAGCTCAAATGCAGCCTGAATAGATCCTGGCATGGCAGCAGCATAGCAAATGAGCTGCCTCCCGTCCACTCTGGACAGAGCTCTGGTGGGGCTGATGCAAAGACTCATCTTGCCATCCTTGCTGCCCTGTGGCCAATGGCACAGCCATATCTCCATGACCATAAAATGCCTCCAGAAAGGAGCTGAGACACTGGGAAGATGTGGAAGAGCCAGGGGCATTTGTGGCTCCTGGAATTCCACCCAGTAAACCACGCTGATCCCTGACTCAAGAACACTGAGTCACAGGTGCGTCCCCTGGGGCCCACCCTGGACGAAGTGGCCTGGACGCACTGTGGGCTGTGGCAGCTGTGCTGGGGCCAGGGCAGCACCTGCACGTGCAGGACAGCTGACAGCCACACACCAAGCACGGCACATCTGGACAAGACTGCTTGATGCTCCGGTGACTGGAGACCCAAGCAATGGCGGTTCGCTGCCTTCCAGAGGCTCCCTAGCCTGGGGTCGGTGGTCCTTTGTACTTTAGTATGGGGACAGTTAACCCCTAGGCTGATGTCAAGGAAATAAAAACCTGAAACTACAACAAAAAGCCATTAAAGCTGTGAGCACTTCAGCAACACCGCACGCTCAGTGACTCTACAGCAACACCGCACGCTCAGTGACTCTACAACCACTCCTGGGTGCCTGTTATGGGGTGGGCACAGCACAAGGCAGAGGGTGCCTTAAATTGCAGCCTCCTCCCTTGAGCAGCCACCACCCAGCAGTCCCACCTCCAAGGCGCCTGATGGGTCTGTCTGCCCAGGCTGTGCATGGGGGGCACTTACATCTATGATGAGATACTCCACAGGCAAGGGTCGGGCCAGCTGGGTGATCTCGTTGCCAAACTTGTCTACGTCCTGCAATAGTCAGAGGGGAACAGCAGTGAGCAAAGGCGATCAGTGGTGATGATTTTCCTTTCGCATGCTTGTCTCACCCTTTATTTTTATTTATTTATTCTTTGAGACAGAGTCTTGCTCCGTCTCCCAGGCTGGAGTGCAGTGGCGCAATCTCCACTCACTGCAAGCTCTGCCTCCCAGGTTCACACCATTCTCCTGCCTCAGACTCCCAAGTAGCTGGGACTACAGGCACCCGCCACCACACCTGGCTAATTTTTTTTGTATTTTTTAGTAGAGACGGGGTTTCACCGTGTTTGCCAGGATGGTCTCAATCTCCTGAACTCGTGATCTGCCCGCCTCAGCCTCCCAAAGTGCTGGGATTACAGGTCTGAGTCACCGTGCCCGGCCTTCACTTTTTAAATTACTACAAATCTTATTGAAGTGTATGGATAGCACAAAGGAAAACATGCTTATTTTTGCAGTGAAACCACCTTCCACCATTTCTTGGGGCTCCTTATTATAACCACAGCCTGAGAAAGTGGTCAAGCTCTCGGGCACTAGGACTCCCCACCGGGACAGCACATCAAATGCCTCCCCTCCACCCACGGTGCTTGGCCTGGCACTCAGGTGCGATCTGCGACAGGCAGAAGGGTCCGTGTTCCCCTCAGGCTGGACCCGTGCCCTGTCCATCCTCCAAAAGCAAATGAAGCCTCACAGTCTGAATGCTAACTCTTAGAATCTCGCTCACACCTCTGAAAACCCGACTTTCCAGAAACCGAGTACTTGGACATGAACAGAGTAAAGGCATGCACAAATGAGCGCACACACACACAAAGACATGGGAGCCCCACACCAATCTGTCAAAGTCTCAACTTGTTTTGCTTTGTCAGATGCACGGAACATAAAGTTTAATTATGGGGAAAAACGGCCAGCATATGTTCATTAATCATAAAATGACAATTAGATCTGATTTATGTCAAACATGCTGAGTTCAAACAGAGCTCCAGAAATAAATTCATAAGAACCAAAGCTTTTCATTAAAGATTCTGCAAGAGGGGGTCATATTTTCTATCTGAATCATCACTTAACATTATATAAATCATTCATTAAGTCATACGTAAATTATACATCCATAATTTCCAATTATAGGGCCTTACATAAAAGTTTACGTTTATTGGAGCTCTCAGACCCGAAATGATTGCCAAGCAAATCTCCCTGAGGTGTGCAGGGTTGACGGGAGGCCACTCCTAGCACAACCACACCTTCCTGGGGACGTCAGGGAGCCCTGCTGTCTTCTGAGACATTCATCACAAGCTGTTCCCAAGTCAAACCAAGTCCATTATCCTAATGAGAAGCCCCAGGCCCCACGTGGCCCTTGGCCCTGCTCCTTGCTTGAAAATTAAGTTTCTGGCTGGTCTGAAGGTGATGAGTTATCTCAGTTGATTGTTCACAGTCAGTGACATATCCAACTCCTTGTTCTACTCTCTCCCCCTTCCTCACTACTGTACTTGACTAGTCTTTTTTTTTTTTTGAGACGGAGTCTGGCTCTGTCGCCCAGGCTGAAGTGCAGTGGCCGGATCTCAGCTCACTGCAAGCCCCGCCTCCCGGGTTCACGCCATTCTCCTGCCTCAGCCTCCCGAGTAGCTGGGAGTACAGGCGCCCGCCACCTCGCCTGGCTAATTTTTTTTGTATTTTAGTAGAGACGGGGTTTCACTGTGTTAGCCAGGATGGTCTCGATCTCCTGACCTCGTGGTCCGCCTGTCTCGGCCTCCCAAAGTGCTGGGATTACAGGCTTGAGCCACCGCGCCCGGCCCGGCTAGTCTTAAAAAATAATAAAAAATTTTTAAATTCAATGTCTGGCCTGAAATGTATCTCAGTCTCCATACCCTCACACCTTTTCTCTATTCACAGCTAGAGAGCGGCCAACAAGAACTTGCCTCTACCCTCCCAGAGAAAAATGGTCCAAATATATCCAACCAATCTTTCCAGGAGGGCAGGAGAACGAACCTGTACTCTATTTCCATTTCACGTATTGCTCCCCGCCCCATCAGAGGCTACGTTCCTGCAAATACACAGTTCTGCTCCGTTTGCCTTCCTTGGACACTGAAATGACTTTCCACGGACGTGGGTGAGGGTCGTGTGTCCTCCTTCCACATGACGAGTGGCTGCCACAGCAAGGACAGCTTCCTCATTCTGGACTCTGCTGGCTGTGATGGGGACACTAAAGACACGGAGACTACTGCCTGAGTCCTGGGGCCTCAAAAGAGGTGGTTTTTCAATGGAGATTTGGTAGGAGGCAAAAATCAAATCCAATCAAACTAAATCACCATTTCCAAAAATACACGCTTGCCCCTACAAGAAATAACCTGCAACAACTCACACATAATTAGCCCATCTGGAATTCATCTTCAAATCTAATTAAGCTCTAATATGCAGAAACATTTTTCCAGCACCTGTTCACTTTAATCTCCCCCTCTAGGGATTTTTCTTGTTAAATGCCCCTCTCTTGTGTCATGCTATTCTCTTTCAAACTTAACTATCCAACTGTACCTTTTCCAGTCCCCAAGAAAATAAAGGTGTTGTATCCCCCTTTCCTCCCTGGGGAAACAGGTAACTTCTACCTCTCCCCCAAGCCTTCACTCAGATGTTTTCACCAGCCAATCCCTAGGCCTACACACCATTTTAAAAGGCAATTACTTTTTATGGGCCTCAGCAAATGTCAGTTGGAATGTGCTGGGAGGAGGATGTCTTAATTCTAAGTTTGGCAGCCGTCAAAGTGTCAGCAGCTTTATCTCCACCTGGAGTGAGGCACCAGGAGGTCAGAGGTTGTGGCCCCAACGCCTCACCACCCGCCAGAGGCCACTTCTGGAAGTACTAGCGCCAAGGTCTTGACACCAAGAGAAATCCAGGAATCGATGTCTTTGTTAGCTCAAAAGCATTGGGGATGCCCGGGGTACGGTGGCTCATGCCTATAATCCCAGGGCTTTCAGAGGCCCAGGTGGGCGGATGGCTTGAGGTCAGGAATTTGAGACGAGACTGGACAACATGGCGAAACTCCGTCTCTACCAAAAATACAAAAACGAGCTCGGTGTGGTGGTGTACTCCTGTAATCTCAGCTACTCAGGAAGCTGAGGCAGGAGAATGGCGTGAACCCAGGAGGCGGAGCTTGCAGTGAGCTGAGATTGCGGCACTGCACTCCAGCCTGGGCCACAGAGCGAGACTGTCTCAAAAAAAAAAAAGAAAAGAAAAAAGAAAACGAGGTCTGAAAGCTTTGTTTTTCTGAGTTATCCTGTGGCGGCTCAGATCCTGCTATCATTTGTGCCTCTTCTTGCCAGTTCTTAGAAAAGCAACACATTCAGGACTTCATTTACCTTTTCTTTTCTTTTTTTTTTTTTGAGACGGAGTCTCGCTTTGTCGTCCAGGCTGGAGTGCAGTGGCCGGATCTCCGCTCACTGCAAGCTCCGCCTCCCGGGTTCACGCCATTCTCCGGCCTCAGCCTCCCGAGTAGCTGGGACTACAGGCGCCCGCCACCTTGCCCAGCTAGTTTTTTTTTGTATTTTTTAGTAGAGACGGGGTTTCACCGTGTTAGCCAGGATGGTCTCGATCTCCTGACCTCGTGATCCGCCCGTCTCGGCCTCCCAAAGTGCTGGGATTACAGGCTTGAGCCACCGCGCCCGGCTTCATTTACCTTTTCTAAAGCAGGGTTGATGCCATTCAATCAATGGAATTCACTGTTGTCCTGGCACAAAGCCCACATGCTTTTGTGTGTGTGTGTGTGTGTGTCTGTGTGTGTGTTTGGTTTGAGACAGTCTTGTTCTGTCACCCAGGCTGGAGTGCAGTAGTGTGATCTCGGCTCACTGCAACCTCTGCCTCCAGGGTTCAAGTGATTCTTGTGCCTCAGCCACCACGCCCTGCAACTTTTTGTATTTTTAGTAGAGACGAGGTTTCACCGTGTTAGCTAGGATGGTCTCGATCTCCTGACTTCGTGATCCACCCGCCTCGGCCTCCCAAAGTGCTGGGATTACAGGCGTGAGCCACCGCGCCTGGCTGACACTCGGTTTCTTAAAAGCACCACTGCTTAGAAAACAGTCCAGTCCATGTGCAACAACACAGCACCTGTCAGCTGCACACAGAACCGGCAGCTGGTATTTCTCGGGCCAGCTGTGTGCACAGAGCCACTTGGTTCTCACAACCACACCAGTCACAGGCACTACTGCTATCCCTGACACACAGCAAGACAGGAAGGGTTACAAAGATGAATGAACCTCCTAAAGCGATTGGCGAGGACAATTGGACAGCTGTGTAGATACTGGGCCCCCCACACCATGTCCACAGGCTCCCCACCTCCCAAGTCAGTGCTGGTGCTGCAGGGCCAGGGCACACACAGACCTCCCTCCTGCCTTTGGGGAACCTTGAAGTTGAGGCTCGGACCCCAACAGTGGTCTCACACTGAGTAAGACTCTCTCCACCTCCACCGCAAGGGAAGATGCAAAATTTTCTCTTAGACTGGGAATATACTATAAGAAGTGATTCAGAATCTCTTCTCTTGGCAGTTTCTTAATTGATAAACTGTCCTGAAAAATGCTGGAAGCAAACACAATCTCCTATGGGTGAAAATGCTTATTTTAAAAAGCTGTGTGCTGCTGGGTCTTGTCCCAACAAATACAAAAGTGGGTTATGGGGCTATAGCGAACAGAGCGGTTTGGTAACAACAAAGGAGTACATTGCAGGTAAGTGGTAGAGGACGATGCCCAGAAGTAAGACACGAGGAGACACAGATACCTTGGCTTACAACAAACAGTGGGACTAGGTCAACCAGGCGAACATCTGGAGAAGCACAAAGCTAGATTCCTACCTCTACCAATATCATGCATAAATGGATTAAGGATCTCAAAGTAAAAATAAATCCTAAAAGCACGGAAAGAGTATATAGGCAGATGCATAGTTCTGGGGTAAAGAATTACAGTTGGCTGGGGATGGGTGTGGTGGCTCACACCTGTAATCTCAGCATTTTGGGAGGC